AATAGAGTTAACGAAATACAGAGTTTAAGTGATACCAGTGCCTGGGCACACTGCCCTGGGAAGCAAAATCCAGCTGATCTCCTCAGCAGGGGAGTCAGTGCTGACATTTTATTGAACAGTGACATTTGGTGGCATGGACCCCAATTTTTGAGAGAAAAGACTGATGTTCCGGTAGACAATAATGACATTCTAATTTCATTAGATGACTTTTCTGATGAACTAAAGAAAAAAACTGATGACTCTAATGATCATTCTCCTATTGCCTTTACTGTTTTAAATCATAGTTCTATAGTTGATGATATTCTTTCCTTGAGTAATAATTATTTAACTATTGTTCATGTTATGTGCTATGTATTTAGATTTATCAATAATGTTAGAAATGAAAAGCTTACAGGTCACCTTACATTTAGCGAGTTGAGAAGAGCGGAAATCTATTTATTTAGGTCAATCCAACAAGGTGAGTTTGTAGATGAAATAAAACATCTTGAGAGAGGTGCCTCAGTGCCCAGCAACAGCAAGGTAAAATCTTTAAACTGTTTTTTAGATAAAGACAATGTTCTAAGGGTTGGAGGCAGACTGAAACATTCTGACCTCAGTACATATGAGAAAAAAATCCAATTGTTCTGCCAGATAAGCATCCATTAACTTTAATAATTGTGAGATATTATCATTTAAAATATTTGCATGTTGGTTCAAATGCATTATTGTATCATGTTCGACGTAAATTTTGGGTCTTAAATGGCAGAAATGTTTGTCGTAAAGTTGTTTTTCAATGTATAACTTGTTTTAAAAAACAAAACCTGTTTTTGAGACTCAGATAATGGGTGATCTGCCCAAAGAACGAGTAACACCTTCTTACCCATTTAGTAATGTTGGAACTGATTTTTGTGGACCATTCCACATTAAATTTAAAAATCAGCGTAAGGGTAAAACTAAAACAAAGTTTATGTGTGCATATTTGTATGCTTAAGCACCAAAGCCATCCATTTAGATTTTGTCTCTGATCTTACTTCAGATGCCTTTATAGCTTGTTTGAAACGATTTTTTAGTCGCAGGGGTAAATGTGCAAAATTATTCAGTGACAATGCAAAGAATTATGTGGGTGCAAGCATTGAGCTCAGAAAATTGCATAAATTGGTTAAACACCCAGATGAAAAACACTGACTAAATACCTGCTAAGTGAAAACATTGAGTGGAGGTTTATCCCTCCTAAATCACCAAACTTCGGCGGCCTTTGGGAAGCCGGGGTGAAATCTTTTAAGTTTCATTTGAAACGAATTATTGGCAATGCTCATCTGTTTCTTGAAGAATTTCTCACTGTAATTCTAGAAATTGAAAGCGTATTAAATTCTCCCTTTACTCCTTATATTTTGATTTCCGAGGACATTTTCTCATAGGGAGGCCTTTTGTTTTGAAACTTGTCCCCCGGAATTTTCTCATAGGGAGGCCTTTAACTTCAATAGCTGAACCCTAACTTGTTGAGATACCAGAAAATAGGCTCTCAAAGTGGCAAAAAATAACGAAACATAGTCAACAAATTTGGAAGAAACATAGTCAACAAGTTATGGAAGAGAGACTATTTAAATAACCTTCAACAACGTAGTAAATGGATGTTTGCTAAAGATAATGTTAAGGTGGGTTCACTTGTGTTAGTCAAGGATGAGCATATGCCCAGTACAAAATGGTTAACAGGTAGAATTGCAGAAATAATTTTTGGAAAAGATAAAAAAGTTCGAGTGATTAACATAGTATTACCAGGTGGTAAAATGTTAAAAAGAAATGTGAGAGACATTTGTGTTCTTCCTGTGAATTGTAATTAGATTTATGTATTGTAATGTGTTTCTTTATAGTGTTTATATTGCATTTATGATTTAATGTGTATTTTAAAATTTAACCATTGTATTGCTATTGCTTACAATTGTTTGTTATTATATTGTGCTTTAAAACAGTGTATACTAATTGTAATATTATTTTGAAACCCGTAAGGTTTCAAGGTCGGGAGTATGTTCAGTAGTGATTAAGAGTTGCCGACAGGAGGCGCTGCTAGCGCGTTATACTCTCGACCTACGTAATTTGAATTGAGTATTCTTTTCTTTTGTGTACTTGCTGTAACAGATCTTAGAGCTTTGTGATTGAGAATTTAAAATGTTTTGTAGCCAGATCGCTCCTCTACAGCAACAAAATGATTAATAAATACATAATAAACTAAATATCCTTCTGGAGATAATCTTTGTTATTAAATAGAAAGTCAACCAGCTCCTGAGTACAGTTCACACAGTTTTTAACTTTTTCAGATTGAAATAATAACTCTATAGAACTATAGAAGGCCGAAGACAACAGATCTTATTTAAACTAGCAACCTAGTAATGTGGACTCGAGAGGCACAAGACGCTCTGTCTTATAATCTAAAGACCCCACCTTAAATACAAGCGAGATAATTCGCATTCTGGCATGGAAATAGAAAGAAGAAATGACAGTAAATGTCTAAATCATAAAATAACTAGCTAATTAACATAAAGGAACTCTAGGATTTAGAATAGAAAAATAATATAAATTATGAATTAAATTTATATTATTTGTTTAGATTCAAAATGAACATAAAGTGAAATAAATTCCTTATGATTTTAAGAAACGATACAGAATATACTATTTTAAACAGACATAAAATAATGCATGATACTCTAAAATTTTCTTTTTGGTTTATTAAATGATGAGTTAAATGTTTTACTCTACTTATATGCCTTTATATTCATAAACCAGAACATTAAAATATATTATAACATAGAGAAGAAGCTTTAAATGGGGTGCAAAAAAGAAAGAAGAAAAAATAATTATGCGATGCTTTTGAATGAATGAAAAAATCAAAACTGCTGTTCAGTATTTCCGAGTTGAAAATTAGTCAAGAATATAGAAGAATATCAAGCATCAAGATAGTCAAGAATATCAAGCATCAACTTTGAGCTCACAGGAACAGCCATTAGAAATTTGCGAGCATTTAAATGCAGCATCAGACAGTTCAAGTGTAATTTTAAGAATTAAAAATGTATCAGAAACTATTTCAACTGAAATCACTGAAAAAGGCGAACTATCAAAAAATACACTCTTAGACAAAAAAACGACGCATGAAGAAGGATCTGAATGGGACGAAAATCGGCAGAAGTGATGTACATGTACAGAAAAACAAATGATTATAGTTTGAGAAAAATTGGATGATTTATTGAAGTGCTTCACAAAGGGTAAAAGTCAGTAATGCGTTTGTCCACCCCTGGCCCTTATGAAAGCAGCTATTCAGCTTGCCATCAATTGATAGAGGTTGTGGATGTCCTCTTGAGGGATATCGTGCCAAATTCTGTCCAACTGGCGCGTTATGTTGTCAACAACCTGAGCTGGTTGGAGGGCCTTGCACATAATGCTCCAAAACGAGCTCAATAGGAGAGAGATCCGGCGATCTTGCTGGCGAAGGTAATGTTCGGCAAGCACTAAGGTAAGCAGTAGAAACATGTGCAGTGTGGGGGCGTAAACCTCAATTTTTTGGGGGGGAATACTGTAAATTTATTGGGAGGCCAAGAAATTTTTTTGCATAGGGGTCCTAGAGTTCTAGTTACGCCACTGTATGAAAGATGACCTTTTTCCAGCCCATGCACAATGAAAAAAGGTTGCTAAAAATTAAGAAGTTTGACAAATGAATTATTCTTGGCAGAAATGAAAAAAATGCGCCAAGATAAATTTTTTAATTTCTCACTAAAAATCACAAGATATCCAGGCAGAATTTGAGTTGTAGAATCGAAATATGAAAAAAATTGTTATGTTATTTCAGAAAAAGTACAATTTTGCATCAAAATATGTAAGTTAGAACAATGATATATATATATAAATCTAATATATATTCTAAGTCACGTTTTCTAGACATGTAAAATGAAAGTTAAATTTCGACAATCGGTCCAGTAGAATGGGAAATATATAACTGTTCCATTTTTTTTTTTTGTGCAAGGTGTACATACATATTTTGATAACACAATTTTTATAATAAACATTCACAAATTCAAGTTTCTGTGTGTTATACAATAACAATCTATTTATTTATGCACAGAAAATAAATTCCAGGAATACTCTCACATCGAATAAATTAATAAATTTTATAATTTAAATAACCAAATGGAGACCCTCTATTTATCCTTCTATAATAGTTATTTCAAAATTCATTCAAAAAAAATTGCATATTTTTTTTACTATCAAACAAATATTATTTTTTTAAAATTTGTAAACAAAATTCTACAAATTTATAAATATTTAAACTTCAATTTAAAACATTATTAATTTTGCTTTTGCTTTTTTAACAAGTTCAAACTGCTCATAACATCAAACAATGCCTATTAATTTTCATACAAAAATACTTTTAATTTTTTAAGAAATGTGAGCAAGATAGTTTTAAATTTGCAGAAGGTACCCCAACCTCCACCAGTATTTTTTGCTTTGGCCAGTAGTTTAAGGAATGTTGCATATTGTTTATGCTTTTTCTCATGTTTGTAATCATGTGTAACATGAATTTTCCATAAGAAGTCCTCCAAGAAAGGCATCCCTCATTTTAGGCAGATAGCCTACATGTGCTTTACCATATTTAAATAACCTAATATACCCATCTATTTTAAAAGAATGCAAAGAGGAGGAAATGGTTCTGTACAGTTTATGTCAGGAATAAGTGGTACAGATCACAGTTACCTTAGTAAGCGATTATAGCATGTTATTTTCTCTGTCAGAAATTCTGATTTGTATCTCAGAAGTAAAAAAATATTCATACGTTAATAATTTTTAAAAATATATTATTTTAACGTTTTTGTCTTAGAATAAGAAAAAAATATACATGATCAAATCTGATTCACCAACTACTACAACACATTTCCTAAATAAATCACTTATAAAGAGGTCAATATTAAAACTAGCCCAAGTTCCCATACATATACATTAATAAGCAACTATAATTCACATAAAACAAAATTTACCTGTAGCTTTTGACGACTGTTAATGTTAAAGAAATAATTATGTTGCAGGATACAATTAGCCAGGCAGCATAATAAAAGAAAGGATGGAAATATGCACCTGGAGCATATAAACGCTTAGAGCTTAAATCAGTTCCACTACCTACAAAATAACTTCTTTCTGATACATCATAGTTTATTTCATTTGAACCTGAAAAAGCAAACACAAAATATAAGTAAAATGAATATGCATTATTAATTAATTAATTAATAATTATAATAATTAATTAATAATTATAATTAAATTAATTATTATTATTAGCTTTGATAAAAATGTTTAAGAATTCCATAGATTCCAAGAAATTTTTTTTTCCTATGCCAGACTTTCTTTTTATAATTTCTATCATTTATGAATATTCTCAATCATAAATTTAAGAAATTCACAAAAATGTTAGTACATATCGATATTTTAATCCTTTATGTACTACATTATGAATTAAGTAATATTTACTCATGGTGATTTTCATTTTTGTTAATTACAAATTATTACTGTTAATTACATTATTTTTTATGTTTATTATTGCTAACTACATTACTTGTGATGAATTTAATTACATATAGTTTATTAATCAAATATACTTTAAAGTAATATAGGGAATATTCATGGCATAAAATATTCAGACCGAGGGAGATGAAAAAAGCGCACTTTAAGATTCAAGAAATAATTATACTTTTTAATACTGATAATCTTTAAAAAATTCTTTTCACTGATGCACAAAAATATGCAAATGCATCTTGAGTGACGTTTAGTGAACAAAGCTCATAGCAATTTCAATTTGCCAGATATATCAGTCAGTGATAACATCTGTTTTGAAGTTGAAGGTCATTTTTAAATACAGAAACTGCTTTTCTTCCTTGATGATATTTTTCTTGAGGCATGATATTTTTCTTTTTTCATTTTCTGCAGATTTTGCCCTGCCTTTTCAATCATTTTCGGTGGATTTGGCTAATAAACCTTAATTGATCCAACATCTGTACTACAGGGGGGACACATAGTCCCTCATTTCTTTATATGCTATATATATATAAATTTACAAAGCATATTTCTAGCATAACAAAAAATAGCATGTGCCATAACTTTATTGACTCTAATATATATGTCATATAAAAAGTGTGACATCTTGGATTTGCTAATATTATACATACATGCACTGCAAGTTTTATATGGTGGTGTTACTTCAATTCTTATGCTATTTTTCTTTGTAAAAATGAATTAAAAATTTTAATAGCAAACACATATAAATATAACATATTTACTCACATATTTCTCCCCTCATGTATTTTTCTCCTAGTTTTCTGCAGTATATGGTTTAGAAACTAAGCTTTATTGCACTAATTTAAAATATATGCGCCCACCAGCAGTAAAGTCGCTGAACACTGGTAGTTCGGTTCGAGGTTCGAATCCCGCGAACGGGCTGGTTGCATGGGGAGTTTTCGTGGTTTTTCCCATGTGTAACGTGTATACGACCCAATTTCCCTTAGAAAGTCCTTCAAGAAGGCATTCCTTCCCCTAGGTAGATAGCCCTAGTGTGCTTTGCTGTAATTAAATAAACCAAACCAAACCTAAAATATATGCACAGATGAACTACGAAAATAACACTCACATGAATATCTTTTTAATTTCACCTATTCCTTCAGAAAATTTTTCATTGTGTAATTTTCTTTTACCCATTCCTTCAAAAAGATTTGCATTGTGTAATTTCTTCCTGTTGGTGTTTAGAAAGCTAAATTTGTAAAAAAGGAAGAAAATATGCCAATAAATAAATAATAATGACATAAATTTATACTTTACTTAAATTTCTGATAAGAATTCCTATCAAATCTTTTTTTTTTTTTTTACTATTTTATTAACAGACTAATATTTTTGATCTTTTACATATATACAATAATTGTATATTTCAGTCTTATTATTAAGTAACTTCTATTTAACACAGCACTTTTTAAAATCTTCTTGATAAATTTTCAATACTCATAATTTAAACTACATTTATTTAATAAACCAATTTTAATTAGTATCTTCATGCACATAGATTACATTTATTTAAATAGTGATGTTTAGGCTATCTTCCTCATAAAAAAAATTATCAGAATTTTCTAAAATGCACGGAGTAATGTGATAAGTATCACAAGTAGCTAAAAAAATCTAAAAATATGAAAGCAGTAAGTTTTATGTATAAATGATACAGCAATATTTGAAATGATAAAAACTTAAGATATGATTGATGGCTGATATTTAAATACAGTTCAGTTAGAAAAAGACGGTTTTGTTTTATTTAGTGTCAGCAGCAGTACCCAGCCTGCTCAGCTTCTATACACTTACTTAAAGTAAAATCTATATTATATGGACAACTAAGGTGTTTATTGCATACTAAAATCGGAAAGAGTGTCTTTAATACAGTCAAAAGTCTTTAATCCGGACTCATCAGAACCTCGGTAATTCCGGATTATTGGTTTTTCCGGATTATAGACCATCAGTTTAAATCTGTTAAGATGGCATGCAAAAATTATAAAATTAAAAATATGAAACCGTAATTTATAAATTAAATTAAAGAGCAATTATAATCTAAAGAGTAACGAAAAAAAAAAAAAAAAAAAAAAAAAAAAAATAAAAAAAAAAAAAAAAAAAAAAAAAAAAAAAAAAAAAAAAAAAAAAAAAAAAAAAAAAAAAAAAAAAAAAAAGAAAAAAAAAAAAAAAAAAAAAAAAAAAAAAAAAAAAAAAAAAAAAAAAAAAAAAAAAAAAAAAAAAAAAAAAAAAAAAAAAAAAAAAAAAAAAAAAAAAAAAAAAAACAAAAAAAAAAAAAAAAAAAAAAAAAAAAAAAAAAAAAAAAAAAAAAAAAAAAAACTTAATATTTATCTGTTTACTTTATTAGACATTTCTTTCAACGCGCGCATGCCTAAAGCATACATTACGCATAGTCAAAATTAGAAAATTGCAACCAGAAAACTATTTGATGTGTATTCGTGATATTTATAATGATGAAGAATTTGATTTAAATCATATGAAAGACTGAGTACATCGAGATGGTATATTACATTTAGTAAGGAATTATAAGCCAAATAAAATAAAAACATCTGCCCTGAAGATAAGGTTAGTGCTGACAGATCAACTTTCAGTTCATTGCGCGCTGCGACGTCCCCCCCCCCGCAGAGCAGCGTGAAATTAATAAACAGATTTCGGAATGGTTAGAGAAACAAAGGATATGCCTTTACCCATTTTTTGCAGCAATTCCACTTTTTGTTTGATAGACATTGAACCATGCTTTCGCTTTGTAGATACTTTGGCAGCTCCAGAATCGGAAATTCTTTTTGACATAATCGAAAGTTCAAGCTTACTTTTATAAAATTGCTCTAACAGTCTGAAAAAAAGCCGGATCCAATTAAAAGATTAAGGAACAACGCAATCTGCAACATTAACTGAAATAGATAATTTTAGTTTAGCTTATACCGTCTGCTATACATTAAACGCGCATGCGTAAACGTATTATGCGCATGCGTAAAGGCATTATGCGCATGCGTAGAAAGTTTGTAGCTTTGAGGTCCGGATTATAGATCATTCCAGATTATGGACATCCAGATTAAAGACTTTTGACTGTAACTTTTTTATATTGCTGTTGATTTTTGACCAAGAATTATCCTAGGTAACTATATCTTTTTCAGATTAGCGAGATGCTCAAATCTGGATAAGCTGATAACTAAACGTCTGTCACAATACTGTTTAACAATTAATTTGACAATTAACCTAACACATGCATGTGATCAAGTATGTGGAAATGCATAAGTAGAAGCAAACATGCCGCTAATACTTTTTTTTCCTAATAAAAGATGTAGCAAATTAAGAATAATCTATGCTGTTCAATATCTAAAATGTGGAAAAGATTTTGTAACCTTCTTTAAAGTATAAGCAACACACTGGATTGAAGGAAATAATTTTCCATAAAACTGATATTAAAAAATAAAAATAAATATAAAAGAGTGACAGACTTGCCAGTTAAGTTTCCAGATTTAAATAACACAATATAATTTCGTAATTTGAGAATAAATGTTTACTTGTTAATCAGATCTTGCATGCGTAATGCAACTTAATCAGGTTAAGAGAAAAATAAATAAATGTTTTGTAATTTATCTTCATCTAATTTTCTAACTTGTGATATTGAGAGTTCATTTTATTTAAAGTAACTTTATTTCTGTGAATTATCAGCTTTTAGTTTTATCAAAATTTTTTTCATTTTATTAACATTTTAAGGATGGTGAACAATAAAACTTTAATGATTTTTTTTTACAAGTATATGGAATTCTTATTGCAACTTAATACTTTAAACACTTTAAAAATTTTACCTCATAATTTAAAAGCTTCTGCAAATTTTCTCTAGCTTTCTGTAAAAATTTTCCCAGTCCATTGATAAACATTCTTAATATTTTAGATTAAAATTAAATAAAATCATAAAAGTATTTTTCAGAAAACTATATATCAATTGTGTTCCATCATATATTTAAAAATGAAAATTTGACCAGCCATTTTATCCTTAAAATAGAATCTAATCTTTTATATACACTAATACCAAGTGGCATATTAATTTACAAAAATAACTCATTATTTGTTTATTAAAATCTTAGTAATTACAATAAAATTACTGTTAATGAAGATAAATTCAATATTTATAATTGACAGCAAGTACAACTGAAAAAGATGAAAATTATTTTGACAATTAACTATGAAATGCATGTGACAAAAAATAACGAATATTTGTGTTACCTTGAAATAAGATGGGTTTTCATCATTATAAATAAAACAGAATTTAAATAATCACAGCAACTGTAGAGTATTATAATATTTATGCAATTTAAAGAAACATAACAATTAGATACCTTGAGCAATATGCCTGGGATCAGATGCATCAAAATGCAAATCTGGACTATCATCTGTGTCCGTATTTATTTCTTGATCCATTTCCTCTAAAAAAATTCTGTTGTGTATAATTTCAGAGTCAGATTTTTCCATATATGATTGATGTTTTCCAGATATAAGTTCTGAATGTATGATCAAACTATGTTTTCTTCTCAGCCAGTTCTCAAATGCTTGCCATGTTGTTATGGTTTTTTGAAGAGGTGAAACAGGATCACTGAAAGGAGCAAAATCTTAATGTAAACTATTTTACAATAAATCAGATCAGAGACAGTAAAACAGCAAATTTCTGCATGAATGAGAGTTGCAGGCTGGCTCTACAAATTATGCAATATTTTTCATTTAGCTAGCATTATAAAATACATCCTCAAACAATATTTATTTCATATGCATTAATTATATAGCTGCCAACTTTAAACTGAAAAATCGGCAGGTTCTCACACACAGAACTGGGAGTATACATGAAGTTTACCCGCTGCACTGTAGCATCACTGTAAAAGAACTCAAAACTGACTTAAATTTATTTTATAATGCATGAATCAGGTTATTCGACTACTTATAACATAATTCTGATGTAAAATATAATAATATTTAATTATATATTTTAAAGTTTATGTTCTTTGAATGATTTCATTTTAAAATTCACTTACACTTTTATACTGAGAAAACTCAAAGAGGAAGGAAAGCTTTAACCCTTTGATGGTTATGAACGAGTTCAGCTCGCAATCGAATCGTGCTTCATAATGCACGCAAATGAGTTCCGCTCGGGAGCAAGATTTTGACCGAAATGGTTAGTAACGAGCACTACTCGCGCAGTGAAATTTTCCCCCAATGCGCGCTGACTAGCTGACTTCGTTCGCCATTATTATTCTGCAATGATTGTGTTTCAAAGGAATGCTACTCGCGAAATTTAGTTAGTTTTACTTTCTACAGATGGTAGTACGAGTTTCATGAATTTCTTTGCATAATGAAGGTAGATTTTTTTTTGACCTTGTTCATTTTATGCGCATTTTGGCACGGTTTTTAGGGTGTTTGTACAGTAAAATGGCTCAAAAGTGAAAGTAAGATAGGTATGATGATGATTATGATACAGAAAGCTTATCAAGTTTTGAATCTGATGAAGACTTTGTTCACAGTATTTCAAGCTCAGAAGACGATTCAAGCTATGAGGAAGATTTTTCGAGTGTTCGACAGTGGTGTATAATTGATTCAAGTTCTCACGCTCCTAGCCGATTTAGTTTTACTGCTGATGTAGGCATGAAAGCTTGCGTGACAAATATTTCTGAAATTCTCTATTAGAAAGAACCTACTAGACGATGTGTGGTATGTTGCAGCAAAAATGATGCTAATGGAAAAAGAATTCGCCGTGAAACACGTACGTATTGCAAAGACTGTAATGTCCCATTATGTGCAATTCCATGTTTTAAAGTATATCACACACAAAAAGATTTTTAGGTAATTACTGTATTTATACTGTGCTTCATAAAGTTTTACATTAGTTGTATTTATTTAGTCCTTTCAATTTAATATTTGTCTTATATTTATAATTAACTATTATTATTTATATAATTTTTTATAATCATTTATAATTTACTGTTTAATAATTATTTTAAAGTATGTAAAAACTGTTATTTATGTACTACAAATACTTTAAGAAATTTTTAAAACGTGCGAGGCGAGTTATCTATGGCATCGCCAGAGAAAGGTGACATTTTCGGAAGAACGGCGGGGGAATACAGCTGCCATTTTCGACTACTGTTTACTCCTAATGCTGCGCGAATTAAGTAAACAGAAACTGCTTATTTCCATAGCCGTCAAAGGGTTAATTTATCAAAGTAATTTCAAATATAATGAAAATAAAATTAATTAATTAAAGCACATACTTGTAGATGAACTTAGTAATGTAGCATATATTGATGTAAAACAAAATTTAATACAAATATTTACTGATTAAACATTGGTTACCAATATCTACAGTAGATTCAGACAATTCAGGACAAATACAATTAAATAAGAACAATTACGCTGAAAATCATTGGGGGTGGGGGTGAAAGAAATTTGCACAATTTAGTTTTTATTGATTCAATAAATTTCATTAACACTTTCGTTAGTAAAGGCTAAATATTAAAAATCAATAGGTTGATCTACCAGAAGGCTATAGCTATGTAATTATATCTATATATGTCTATTTTCAGTACATTAAAATACTTAACTTTAAAATAACTGATAATTAATAAATAACTGTGATCAGAAGCATAAAAAAAGAAAATATAAATCTAGGACCAAAATTCAATCCTCTACTGCCAAGCCCATGTTATCTTTAACCCTTTGTGGTGTACTAGACCTTAAAGTCGGAATTTCAAGTTGTATGCAGTCTATCTAGGCCTAAAGAAGTATACAGGTCAAATTTTGTATAAATTGCACTTACTGTTTTAATTCTGTGGGTGTTCCATGAGGTGAAACACTGTGCCCCAGAGATTTTAAAAGTGTGACTAAGCGAGCATTGAAGTGAAACCATTACTGCCATAACAGTTTAAATCTATATAAAATAAGTATAAAAAAACTTACCTTAAATCAGAAGATTCAGAGACTGGAAGATCATCTTTTTCATCAGTTGTGAAACTTTCTTCCAAACCAACAGGAACAGATAAGAGACTACTTTCACCCAAACTGCTATATAAACTGTCACTGTCTTCAACTGAGGAAGAAGATCTAACAGAATTACTGGAATTGGAACGCTTAGGCTGGAACCAGCAATATAGGTTTTGGAAAGAAAATGAGAAAAACAATGCATTGAATTTTGGATCTAGATGCGTAACTGGTGGACGTGAAAAACGGAATAAAAATGTTAACAGCACCTGAGGTGCAGTTGCAACAGCTGCCACAGAAAAGCAAATGAGAAAAGTTTCATGTGATAAATGAGGTAGGTGACAAGATTTCAGAAGCTGTAAGGACAAAGAGAAAAAATACATTAGCTGAAAAAATAAGTTGCATTACATTAAGTTATAAACAATAGGTAGATCAAATTTGAACTCAAGATGGCAGGTTTATTATTATCCAACTAAATATATCTAAATAGAAGCTGTTTTGAAATGGAGGACAACATGTAACCTGCTTGAAAATTAATTATTTCTTACAGTACATGCCATGCATTATCTGACAAGGAAAAGAAAGACTTCACTTCCATGTTTAGTATATTATTTGAACACAGCTGTTCCTGCTCGGACAGGTCAAAGCATGCAAGATGACTATGCAATGTTTCTTGGCCTCTAACTCCACACTTATTTTTTTATAAACATTTTTCTCTGGGAATATGTTAGATTCCATAAATGTGTAGCTGCTACCTATCTCATTATCAAATTTAGACACAGAATTGTTGCAGAAGACACCCACAGTTGTTGTACAGCTAGAATACACTGACAGCTATAGATGATGCTTGTACATTATACTAATGATTCAATGCAAAAAATGATTAATTATAATAAAAATATTTTTTAAATTTTAAGTATGCTAGCCTTTTCACTTAACTATCAGTCTGTACCTTGATATCCATTACAAAACAGCATTTCTTATTATACCTTGGGAATTTTTTCCTGCTTCACTTATGTTACTTTCTACAGTCCATCAATTGTTTTTTTATAGAAATGTATAGAAAACATATTTTTAAGAATAAAAGATCATACTAGTCCATCAGCAGCATGCCATGACTTTGCTAGAATATGTGAAAAGCTCTATACTTTATACCAATATCCCCCTTTTAGAAATTTAGTTATACATGTTGAAGAGTGACTCATGATTTTGTCTGGTAAAATTTAAATTCCTTTACATTGTATAAATAATGAAGTACGATTTCTTTTCTGAATATGGGGAGTCAAAACATTATTTGATAGTACACCAATTTATTTTTACTTTCTTTCAAATTTTATTATTTTTTTTAAAGACCATGTATAACTACAAAAATCTTAGCTGAAACTTTCTTTAGGCTCAAGAGACCAAAATTTCTAAGACTTTCTCTCCTTTTTTATGATAATAAACTAGTTGTTTTTAACATAGCCATTTAAATATACTAATTTTTAGTCTGTAGTCACAAGTGCAAATTTTTTACATAATAAATAATTTTCTAAAGAATTCTACATGTGGTCTTATATTTTACCACATGTTTAAGAAAAGATAATAAACATTGTATTTTCTTATTCTTGTAGAGGCCATCAGGCATTTTATTTTGGAGTAGATGACATGAAAATGTGCAATGCCCTCACTGGGATCAGACCTCCAAACTGCTGGCCAGATGTGCTTTCAATTACACTACGAAGGCACACGGTTAAGAGGGAGAAAATATCTTACAATTTTTGGTTATTATTTCACTCACAATAGAGACAAATATTTAAAAATTATTATATTAGCCTACCAAATAGGTGGGCGGGGCCATTCCTGGTAGGTATGCAGAAAGTGCCACACATGCAGGTGACAAAATTTAGGGTGCCAAATTTGGATGGTATCCTTTAAAGTTAGCTGTGCAAGGACAGATACATTATCCAATAATTCTTTTTTTTTTTTTTTTTGGTCTCAGAGGAGGTAAAAAAAGTGTTCCCCTCCCCTTGTTTAGGACGACGATCGAAATATTTTTTAAAATTATATAGTGGCACACACACACACACACACACACACACAAAAAAAAAAAAAAAAAAAAAAAACCTGCACACAAGTGCTTGATCCCCCAGGAATGGTCCTGTAGGTAGACCATTGTTTAGAAGCATAGATCCAATTTTTAAATTTATTTTTGAACTATAGAACCTGTAGAAAACAGTAATTATCAATTTTTCCACCTCCACTTATTATGAATTACTTAATAACCCAATGCTTCATAAGCACTAAGCTCTTTTGATTCAGGATATGTTTATCTTTTTTTTTATTGATAAATGAGAATATTTTTCATTGGAAAGCACTAAAACATAGCCATGAATCATTATAAGCTTTTAAAATAAATCAATGCTACACAGCCTAATTTATCCCTTGATGTAAAAGCTACTGCCAATTAATTTTTTAGGCTTCATTATAATTTCAGTTATTTGCTTAAATCAAAATTACTCCAAAAATGAGTGAAAAAGAGTTTTTTATACACATTATCTGTATAGTTGAATTTGGATTTAATGATATGTAGAAGTATGAAACATGTTATTTTGAATAATTAATTTTTTAAATTTTAGTCACATATTTTACTCATTGATTTCATTATTTTCCTTCTACAACCCAATGCTATATAATTTTTATCTTTGCTACAGAACTAAATATACTCTAATCATCTCTTTTAAAAGCTTAAACAGAATTAGGCATTAAATAAAGACATAAATCTTATTATTCATAATACTGATTACATAAATTAACAAATTTTAAATCTGTATGTAAGAAGATATTACATTTAAACCAGTATAATCTGGAATGACCATTATTTATGTAATATATTCATATAAATTCTCTATAGTTATCATAATTTATTTAGAAAGTTTTTGATGAATTCAGCCTTCCATTCCCAAGAATGTATAAAGTAAACACATTTTTGCAACATCACACAATTTACTAAAAGAATTTCAACTAATTATTATTTGTTTACAGCATAACAATACATTTTTATAGATAATATTAAATACTTGTAAAAAACAAAACTTAAGAAGAGGTACTTAAGGATGATATTTTTACTTATCACTCTTCTTTTAAAAAATTTACAAAAAAGACTTAGTTCATAAATAGAAGAAATTATTTGTTCCAGTATATATTATAAAAAAATAGCAATTAAAAGCATTAAAGATATTTAAAGTATAAATTACACATTTAATCAAAAGACTAGTAGATATAAACATATCGTAAAAGATATTAAATATTTTTATTTATATTTTTGGAAAGAAAAAAGATTACCTCTTCAAATTCTTTTTCTTGAAGCACAGACAGAATAAATGCACAGTTCAACAAGAAGCTAAGACAGCAAGTAATTCTTTGAACTCCAGTAAAAAAAGAAGCTGGAGATTCTCGAATGACTGAATTCCACATATTGAAATCATGGATATATGAAATCAAATTTTCCAAAAAAACCTGATACATAAAAGAGAAAGAAGAATTCCATTACCTAGCAATTCAGAATTTCATCACCAGATATCATCATATTTGCTCATTTAGTATACAGGCATGTTTAACAACTTAAAATTAATTTTTAAGTTCAGGCTTCACATTTGTAAAAAAAAATCATATAACCCTTTGACACACACGATATTATTTTTATAATTTTATTAAACTAAAAACTCTAGAAATTGAATATTATGATCCTAGACACAAATAATATATGAATTTAAAAAAATCCACTCTTGCCCATTGTTCTGTGGGTGGTGGTCGCACTGTGAAACCACCGCGAGTCTAGGACTTTGAAACTTACTGATATAGTAGGGAAAAAAACTTACCATTTTCCGCGCGCGTTTCTAACAAATGACGAAATTTACAGATTTAAAAAAAAAAAAAAAAAAAAAAAAAAAAGAGTATGTAAGAATTGCATTATATGTAATTTTTTTTACATTATTTTACAAAGTAAATCATCAGAAAAAATTAAAAAATAAACGTTTATGTAATTTTTTTTTTCTATAGCAGTGAAAATATAAGTACCTACATAATAAGGACATTTGGATAAATGGATTTAAAGCTCAATAAAATAAGGATAAAAAGAACTAAGTATTTTTTTTTTACTTTAAAGAAAAATTTTTTTTGTGACACTGATCAAAGTATGTTTTGTCTCTTTCGTACATGCATAGACCCACATTGCACGTTTCGCACATACATCTTGTTCTATGAGGTTTCTTCCTTTTGCTACAAAATGTACACTGCCTGGATTTAAATTTCACTGGTTATATGTCCTGCATTATTTAGTTCTTTTCATCTGGCACATGAAATTTGTGGTTTTTTATGTTAATAGGGGGGGGGGCTTGGTCTTTTTGGCTTTGTACGGATCGTTCGTTTCCCATTCACACTTATTTTATTCGTATTTCGTCCCAAAATATTCAGAAAATATTTTTAATGTAAATAAAACTTTTACGCAATTTCTATATTTAATTATAGAAAAGTATATTTACATTAAATTTAAACCACATGAAATAATTTATAAAATCACAATACTAGCTTGGGGAGCAAGTGTGTTGATGTCAGAGAAAAGTATTTGGAAAAAAAAAAAAGACTTTTTTACTGGGCAGGTAGGTGCATGTATTGTTTAGTAATAAAATAACTCTGTGGTTTCAAAGCCCTTTATCTATATCCGGGTAAAAATAAACATTCCTATTTGAAAAGCAAGCGAACACCATTGAGAAGCAAACGCCAGTGGTTTCAAGGCGCGACCACTGAGCCTCTAGAGGATTATAAGCATTGTGACACAATGCTCTAGTAGCGCAGTGGTTGCGCCATGAAACCACATAGCAAATGCCATACATATAGAGCTTTTTTTTTAATATATGCAGTTTAATTACTGCAATTTTTTATTGTTTATGATAGAAATCATGATGTGCGATGACTAACTTTTGAATTTTAAAGTTGTTTATATTAATAAAAGGAAGTTATTTTGTCTCATCGAAAACGAATTTTAAAAGGCATCCGATCTGAAGTATTAAAACCTAAAACATATATATGATTCTACAGTCATTTTGTGTTATTTAGATGTATAAGATCAGTAATCAATTCATTTTCCCTCAAAAATTTCGGAAAAAAGAGGAGAAAAAAAATGTGGAAATTGGTGGTTTCAGGGCGCGACCACCACGCGTCAAAGGGATAAAGCATTGCTCTGTGCATTGCAAGGTACTTTACTTTTGGGTTACTGGATATAACAGTTTACTTAAACAAGCTGCTATCAAATTTGTTTTTATTGTCATATAGGATGCAAAACATGTTTTACAACATTAGAATATAAATGTTTTTCATTTCCTCTGAATATCTGAATCTAGAAAAATGGGTTTAATACACATTATTATAGGTATCCTCATAAAAAATGGAACCATGAAACAGCACTCAAGTTTACAAATGCTTAATTCAACAGAATTTTTGGCATGCTTCTGATGCAAAAAAATAAATTAAAGAGAAGAAAAAAAAAAAAAAAAAAAAAAAAAAAAAAAAAAGAAAAGAAAAATTTGAAAGATTTCAGATTTTAAATTTCATTCAAAGGGGCATTTTAAAAAATTTTTTGTGTTACCTTTATTTATTAAATATCATGTTCTTCGCACTTAAACGATAAAATTTAGTTCAAGAGCAATATCGCAAAATAATTTTAAATTGAGCATATCTTTAGAATTTCCGATACGGAGTCTCACGTGCTGGAGATAAAAATGTTTTTTCTGTACAATGTTGTCATTGCTAGCTTTGAAGTCCTTGAGTTTGTTAATCAAAAATGCGTTAAAAGTTTTACAAAATATGATACTGATAATAGAACAAATTCCAAATTTGGCCTTCCAGGTAAAGTACACACACATAGTCGTCACAGTAGGATTACGTCATTCAAAATTGGATGGCTCTAGGTACCATTGTTTATCACAAGACACAAAATTGCAAAACGAAAACAATAGTTCCTCAGGGACAAAGCTCCTTTGGACTAACAAAAAATTTTAAAAGTTCTTTCATCATAGTATCACTATATTCAGGAATGAATTCAAATTTTGGCATTCATTTGAGATCTGTGCTGGAAATATATATTTCAAGAAAAAAACCTCAACTTCTAGGATAATACATGATATCCCTCAACAAAAGCAGAGTGCCCTAGTAAACTTTAATAAATCAAAGTCACGTACAAAGAAGATATTAAAATCACATAAAGTAAGAAGCAATAATTGATAATTCACAAGGTAAAAGTTCCGAGAAATCCAAAGTGCTCCTTCCCAAAAATCAAATAACAGCAATAGCAAAAATGATATGTAAATGCACTATCCACATAAATAGAAATAATAACATGCTATCTAAATTTACCTTTTAAAACTGACAAGACACTGACCATATTGTAAAGCTTAGAGTCAGTGGAACTGATGCTGGGACATTAAACTGCCTTGCTGGGAATTTAGTTGTAGAAGATATTAGTTCAATATAAAACTTAAGGTTATACCTGTAGTTGTTGATGTGAGAACCCTGAAATGTGACAGTATGCCTGACTCTACACATGATATATTTACTATATTTTATAGTTTGTCATAAACTACCTAATATGTATATTTTATATGCCACCATATAATCAATCAGGTGCAAGTTTTCACACAAAGTTCATATTAATAATAATAATGATCATGATTCAAAATTTAAATTATTGCCTTGCAAGACCATGGCTACTGTATTAAATGTGTCATGTACTAAAAGATTGGGAATCATAACTGTACACAAAACTTGACTATCTGACGAAGCAGATACACAAGAAAATTTAAGATTAGTTTCTGCCAAACTCAGTTGCTTGCTTTAAATAACAGTTGGAAATGTTTGGATTCTTTTTTATCAGATATAATAGCACTGGATATCTTTCATCACAGCATTTACTTCTCAAAATTACATTTAAGAAAAGAACTTACTTTGCTGAAGCGTGGTACAGTATCATTAACTGTCAACTCACGTTCAATCTGGCCATCTCCTCTTTCAGCTGATAGCCAGGTATAGCAATCAAAACAGTAGCTAGTACCTGTAAAATTAAACAGAAAAATAAATTAACTGCTAAATATATATTAATAAAATAAATAAAAATATATAACTATAGTTCCAAGTAACGCAAACACATAAGCTAAATAAATTTTAATGATGAAAATTAATATATGAAAACTTAAAACTATTTATTATTATTATTTTTCCCCCAAATGTCTATAGCATACAAAGTAAAAGAATTTTACACTTGAAGAGGGTTGCTATATAACAGGCTTTCAAGTGGAATATTTGTGTTTCAATAGTAGATGACATTCTCTGTGTGCTACAAAGGATGTAATATATTTCCACTTAATGATCTTCAGAAACCAACACTATTCTTCAACAAGCAGGTATTTCTGAAGTGTAAATAAAATCTTCACTCTCTAAAGCATTCTAAAGTAGACCTCTTATATGGGACATATATTTGTACTTCCTAGATTACTTTAAAACTTCAATGTTCTTTGTATCTGCCATGCAGATTTTGATGTAGATTCTCATATAAATTGTTTTAAAATCCACATGAATTGTTAATTATACTCATAAAAATGCTGCTGATCAAAAAGATACAGAAGCAAAATTTGCATGTTCACAAATAACATATTCAGCTTCCCAGACTTGCTTCACACATTATAAAAGTGTTAAAATTTGACTGAGTTATTTACTCTATGCGTTCATTTTAGCATGACATTTGAATTTGAAACAAAAGTAGTTCTTTTACAACACATGTGCAGATATCAGATGAACATGAGAACAACACATTTGATATTATTAATTCTTGTGTATGCTGATAATTTTTTGAACTCTTTAAAAATCCATTTTCATCAAAATACAAATCAGAAAATCAGATGACAACTTTTAAAATAAATAAGTTAATTAAATGAAGACATTTATAAATAGAAATTTTGTAAGCATGTAAAAGGTCAATTTAGAACCTTAGATATACCTTTCATATATATATTAAACACAAAGGATGACACTCTCAGATTAACAACCTGTTTTTCATATTTCTTTGGACAAATCTGCTCCTGAATGGTTGCTGCAGCTTTTGGATGGTCTGACCATAAATCATATTAATGTCTTCTTTCTCATCTTAGAAATATCAATGCCACATGAAAACTTGTACACATGATACATAATCAATGTTGTTTGTTGGGAAATTCACATTCTTACTTGTAGCTGCACAGTGCTGAAGAGATGAAACATTCAATGCTATATAATAACATGGTAGAAACCATGCAATGTGTGAAGACTGTATGTCCCTTCGATGTACCTGTCCTGGGCATGTGTTGTCTTGCTTATCAATGTGATTTTCGTCGCAGTGGTTCACCTATGTGAATGCATGGAATCCTGACATGGAATACAGCTGTTGAAGACTAGAATGAGAATAAGTATCAAGTAGAGTGTCTCAGACAACAATTTATATGAAGTATCACATGGAATTGTAGGCAAGCACTTGCTGACCTAAATGAAAAGCCAAGTAGACACTAATGATGTAATGCAAAAATTTATACCAGTCAAGTTAATCATCATATGTTTCTTGCTCATATGTCATAGGTTGACTGCCCACTTCATCTGCTTTGTAAAGCTCAAGGAAAGTAGAATTTATGTTTCTTTTACATCCTGTATACTTCTTTGGTATATCCTTTGGTACGCAACAACATTTTACAATAATGTAAATACTCTCAACATTACCTAATCCCAAACAATATTATTAATATTTTGCATTAACCCATGAGCGTGCGTGTGCTGGGTCCAGCGGACCCGCCCGATTAAAGAAACCTTTCTGAAAACGCCCCTATTTTCCCCAAGTGGTTGTAATTCAGTATAGTCTCCTCCAAGGCCATCCTCTTTATGTTTCCGAAGTTTTTATGCCGGAAATTTTATTCGAAGTTTTGTTTTAATCGGATCAAGTCTTTCAGACCCAGCATGCCTATTTGCATTGCTGTAAGGTAGTTCATTTGTGGTAGCACAGAAAACTGCAAACATGTCGCATAATTTTATCCTATAAGGAAGAAATGCTTTGTTTGCAAAAATTATTTGATGTATCCACTGAGGAAACTGATGATGAAAGTTATGATGAATTTTTTAGTTCCCATGACACTGATTCAGAGATCGAGATGCATTCTGAAAACGAAAATGACATTTATTGCTTTATTGGAAAAGACAAAAAAACTAATGGTAAAAAGAAAGTTAAAAGCTGGTGTTAAAACTCCTGCTCATAATATTATTACTAAATTGCCTGGAAACATCGGTAAGGCAAAATATGTGTAGACTCCAAATGAATAGTGGTAACTTTTACTAAGTGAACAAATGTTGCTGAAAGTTGTCAGTTACACAAATATTTATATTGCATCTATTTCTAACAGCTTTCAAAGAGAGAGAGACAGAGATGCTCATAACACAACTCTAACTGAAATTTGCACTTTTATAGATCTTTTATATATTTTTGTGGCATAAGTCATCTCATGTAAATGTGCAGGATCTGCTGGCAATATACGGAACTGGCTTGGAAATTTTCCACAAAACTATGTCTTACAAAGGTTTTCTTTTTTGATAAAGATGTTTGCGTTTTGATGACATAGGAACTTGCATTATCAAGAACGAATCGGATAAACTTGCACCTATAAGAGGTTTTTGAAGATTTTGTGAATAATTGCCAGAAATATTACACTGTCGGTGAGTTCATAACAATTAATGAAAAACTTGAAGCCTTACGAGGAAAATGTTCTTTCAAGCAGTATATTCCTGATAAACTTGAATAAAAATTCCTGAATAATAATATAATGAATTCCTAATAAATTCTATATTAATATAATATGTTTTCTATTCCTTTAAAAATTTATTTCATAGAAATTGAAATTAAAATTTTAAATTTTTATAGTTTGCATATTTTTAAAGTTTGATCATAAAATTTTTGGCATAAATGTAACACTTTTACCTGAAGAGTAAAAATTTTTTCTTCAAAAAAAAAAAAAAAAAAAAAAAAAAAAAAAAAAAAGAAGAGCCGGGTCTTTTGGACCCAGGGCGCGTGCTCGTGTAACTCAAAAAAGCGTGCGCGCTCCCGGGTTAATGCAAAGGTCACCATGAAAAGTATCACAAACTTTAAAACAAAGCTAGAAAGCTTTATGTTCATACGTTGCCTTCATTTTGCTTTCTCAACAATATGAGAAATTAGTGTAGCGCCTTTAACAATCATTTTTTAAAAAATATTTATCATGTGCTTTATGTTAAATTTTAACATAATTATATAACATGCATCAAACTTTATTTGGTCTCACTGATTTCAGAAGAAAAAAAAAAAGTTCACTTTCTTTTCAGACAGATTTTGCATTCAATACATAAATAAATGGTATAAAAAAGGCTAAGCAAAGCAGAACAAACCTGTTTCCACATCCTTCACTGTTATAACTTTTAAATACCAAGCTGGAGATTTTCCATGGTTATTATGCCACACCTCTAATTTTATGAGTGGACCAAGATTTTTTTCCGTACTAGAAAAATTAAAGAATTAAATTAATTATACACACATAACATTTTATCTCATAGCAATATGTACCATTTATATACAAATGTAATTAGCTTTATTTTTGGATTGCAGTCTATTAAAAAAAGATGAAATACATTAAAAACCAAACTATCTGATATTCTACTAATCAAAAGCTCAAGTGATTGGATTGTTTTCGAATTTAAGAAATGTTTCTAACATAAAATTAAATTAGAGATTTGTTAGCTCCATTATGAAGCACGAATAGGACTTGTTTGATTCTAATCAAACAAAACTTGTCACAAAACATTGCAATTTCATGCTTATTATGAATGAGCGTGGCATAATGCTTTGTCTCTCTATGTGAATCAAAGTAATTCTAGATAAGTCGGTTTAATTTTTGTAAAAAATGACATAAGTTAACTTCTATCTATCTGTATTTCCATTACATTTTTAAAAATGATTAAAATTTGAGACTTCAGGTCAACACCATGCAATAAAGTATTTTCAAAATTACAGGGTCCTACCATCAAAAATAAAAATAATTATACAATACTTATGTAAAAATGAATAAACACTGGTTGTGAAATATAAAAACTTATGACAATCATTTTAAGTTTTTTTTATATGCTATGTCTGTAACTTGTATATGTTGATTACTTACTAAATAAAGAACAATCCATTCTTTCAAATTTTAGCTGGAATAACTGGCCCAAGTTTGGCACGACCTCTGCGAATTTTCACAGTCAATGGAATTTCGTAACCGAATATATATTTGATTTTGGCGTTTCTGTCTGAAATACAATTTTTTTTTAAAACCTCACTTGATTTAAATGTAGGCATTTGATATTCAGATTGATAAATTAAAATGATTTCCTATAATTTTAGACCAGAAATTTTTTTCCCATTCATTTGGCTTCTCTACTATGAATTTACATTTTTTACATACTCAATTATCTGGAATTCAGCATTTCTTGAGCTTTTTTGATTGACCAGCTTTTCCATAATATAATGTTTGATCACAGTTCTAGTATTATGAGTGACTAAAATTAACTTGTTCCAAAAATTTATAGCAAAGCTGATTAATATTTAGCCACTAATGTAAACCATGCTCTAAATTCGTGAGTTTTTAGTCCAAAGGGGAAATTTGCCCAGAAGGAAAATTAATTTCGTTTTGGCATTTGCATTGGTTCAATATAAATGTTGTTCACTTTTCAAATTTATGCCATCAAACATTATCATCTTGTATTATATTTAAAGAAAATTAAATAATGAAGAATCTGCATAAATGTATGTTTCTCGCATTGTAATAAAACAACAGTACCTAGAGCCATCAAATTTTAAATAACGTAATCCTCCTGCGAATATGAGCATCTGGAAGCCTAAGTTTGAAATTTGAAATTTATTTTATTATCGATTTCATATTTTATAAAACTTTAATGGAATTTTTGATTAACAAACTCAAAGATTTCAAAGTGAGCAATGGCAATGTTGTACAGAAAAAACATTTTTATCTTCAGCGCACGAGACTGTGTATCAGAAATTCTAAAGATATGCTCAATTAAAAATTATTTTGCAATATTGCTATTAAACTGAATTTTATGGTTTATGTGCAAAGAACATGATATTTAATAAATAAAGGTAACACCAAAACGTTAAAAAAAATTCCCCTTTGGGTGTAATGCAAAATTTGAAAGCTTCCATATTTTCTTTCTTTCTTTTTTTTTAATTATTGTATATTATTGAACTTTTTTTATTCCTTCATGCAATATTGTAAGAATTAAATTCATTTTGTTTTTGCATTAAAAAATAACACTGTTTAACACGCACCACTTTATCACATCTTGTAAAATGTTCTACATGCATTTAACACTATCACAAAATGAACAACATTTTCTCTGAATAGTCCAGTTCTGCATGGGCTTGTGTTCAAAATCCATACTTCCTTCTTCTCTATTGCTAAATAATAAAGTATCCTTATCTAACAAATGTACAGAGACAGAGATATTTTATTATTTAAAAATAGAAAAGAAGTATCTGTTTTAGAAAGTTCTCGATTATTTTGTAATTACTATGCTGATTCTATGAGTCTGTTTAGAGGTTCTGGAAGTAGTTTCTTGACTTTGTCACTGTATTTTCTGCTTTTGATATTTTAATTTCTTCTTCATGGAATTCAGATAATTCAGTGCTTTTTCAACAATAACTTGTTTACCATTGGCCTTAAATATGCACTTCTTTAAAGCATATACTATTTTTATTCTCGATTGTGCTATCTTGTTCTTCAAAATACATTAAGGACACATTTCCATTAAAACTGATGAATTTAGAGGACTTGCACGTGTTCTTTGTTAAAACTGTCTAACTTGCAAGCTCCTTATTCTTTCTTTTTTTGGGAGGGGGACATGCTTATTTATCCTATCAAGATCTTTTATTTTAAGACAAATAGATCTTCCATGTCGTAACATACTTTGAAAAACATTACATTTTATATTAAAGAATGAAATAAATTATTTGGGGGATTTTGTTGAGTTGGTTTTAGCAAGAAAACTATATAACAAAATTCCTAAGAATGTTAAAAAAAGCTAATGCCAGTATTGAGACTATAGCTATTAGCATTATATACAAATAATATTCCCTTAATAATCTTTTTTGGCTGTAAAACATATTACAGATTTAATGAAAAGCTCCTTAAAGGAAAACATTTAACAGAATGTAATTCTAAACTTTATTGAAATTATTGAAATATGGTGGTTGTAAAAGAATACTCTTTATTTTATGTTATTCCTATGATATTTTAAAATGTTTTTCAATTTATAATTTTTATTTATTATTATTGTTGTTACTATTTTTTTATACAATATTATTTGCATTCTCCGCCCTTTTTTTTTGGCAAAGTAAAATATTCAGTTAGAATTTGATATTTTGCTTTTATAGCATAAAGTGCTAGCTTTTTGTTAAAATTTTCATAGCTCACTACTGCATTACAGGTTAACTGTAATGGCTCTTTTTTGCAATTCTTTTCTAACTTAATTTCTTTAATGAACTAGAAATAATTCTAATAAATTAAATTTATCAAAACAAATATAACAAAGTAAATACAGTACAAAGTCCGTAATCCAGACATCCATTATCCGGAATGATCTATAATCCGGACCTCAAAGCCATAAACTTTTTTTTTGTATGCTTTATGCATGCGAATTGGGAGGATGTGTCTCCAGATACGTAAAAAATTGTTTGGCATAATTTACGGCCAGCTAACATATTTTTCATGGTGAGGATGATGATAATAGCCGCGAATTTGAAGGTTTTCAGACATTGCAAACTAAAGTTGAAATTTTCCAGTTATTGGATTTTGTAAAGAAATGTGGAAAAGCGGTAATAAATGAAGATGATATCATATAACAGAAGTTTTTCATTGCTACGGCAATGCCCCAGTCATCAATCAATGGACGGCGAAATCTATAGTATGGTTCTAGATCCAGAAAATACTGCTTCCGATAGTGAAGAAAGTGAAAGAGAGGTTATTGAAAACGAAAACGTTTCGACTGACCAGTTAGTCGATATTTTCGACACAGCAATTACAGGACTTGAACAGTGGAACTTTGTAACTGAACAAGAAATTATGTCTGTTTATAGAATTAAAGAGAAAGTATTAGCACAAAAAACAAAACAACTTAAACAAGCCGTCTTACCAGATTTAAATTGACGATCTGTAATCCGGAAAAACCCCTAATCCGGAATCGCCAAAGTCCCGACGAGTCCAGATTACAGACTTTGTACTGTAATTACTCATATACTCTGCAAACATAGCATTTTGTGTGTGGAACTAAAAGATGTTAAGCTCAAAGGGTTAAAACAGAACTGTAAACTATTATCCATTATATATATATATATAGATAGATAGATTTTTAAGCCAATATTTTAAAAATGAACAAAGTCTTTTTTGTAATACAGAATTATAAAATTTACCTCATCAAAAAAGTATCCACAGATCCTCTTTGAAAAGAAAACATTTCTGAATTAGTGCCAATTAACTGTCGGGTCTCAGTCATACCATTTATACCATGCAGAACAACAAATACCTATTGCATTATACAGAAACACATACTAATAATTTGATACAGTAGCTTTTGACAGAAATTTAAAACTAATGCACTAAGAATCTAAAATATAAAGTAAAATCAATTAAAAAAAACTCACTGAAGCTGTGGTTCCTGATGAAAAATACATTCCAGTTTCTACACGTATAATATAAAATTGTTTGTACTCCTGACAATTATCTCGAAGTGGAATAGGAGAGGATGCCAGATTTCGTATTTTATCTTTTTGAAAATTCCACAAAAGCAGCAGATAATATATAATCATGATAAAAGTAAACATAGCTAGTGGCAGTGGGTTAAAGTATGGTTCAGCCAGTTCACTAATGGGAATCTTTTCAAGATATGAATGTAGAGGAGCTGAATATGCTGTTACTTCCAGTGAAGAACACCTACAAAAAAAAAAAAAAAAAAAAAAAAAAAAAAAAAAAAAATATCGATACACATTAATAAGTAAAATATAGTCACTTCTATTTTTATAAATTTAAATCCTGCTTATGAATGAGCATACAGATTTTCAGTACATTTGATATTTAATTAAGTTAATAAATATTGAAAGCAACATTTTTATTTAAATAAAATTTAGGATAAAAATTAAAATGGTTGAGAAATACTTTAAATACCCAACTAATTTAAAGCAGTTTATGCTACCTAGAAAAACTATGCATATTGAATTTTCAAAATTACTTTTGAAAATCAAGAAAACACTTATCTCAAATTTTTGCCTCAGTCAAAGAAATTTTTTTAATTCATACCTCTTCCATCAAAACTTCATTTTCAAGACAACAGTTAAATGAATATAAAATTTAACAAAGTTTAAAAACATATGAAGAAATAGTCTTATTCTATATTTGTATATACTATGAAATATTATATATGTTTACTTCTTCAAATGTGTTAGTATATACTTACAGTATTTGCAAATTCTCTAGGGGGAGACAACCTACCTACAATGAATCCAGTCATAATTTGATGTTTCCAATGCAGAACAGCTTTGAGCAGACCAGAAGCCACTACTCTTTCCCATACATAATTCTTTCCATAGAAATGCATCATATTCATGCATAACTTGAAGAGGTACATTTTTCTCTTCATATTTTTGGTTTATTATAGCGAAGTAATACATACCAGGAGCTAATGAAAATACAGCAGACATGTAACATATGAATGTAAAAACAATCTAACATGTGCAAATATATTTAATAGTTTTACATATTACATAGTTTTTAGAACACTTTTCAACCAATCTTCACTGCATATAACCAAATTCAAGAAAGAATACCCTTTTCTTAAATTTTGCTGTTTTTAACATGTTTATTCTCAAAAAAAAAAAAAAAAAAAAAGGGGGGGGGCTCAAATGAAAAAAAAAGTTGTATCAGATTTACTCAAGGAGAAAAATTAATCAGAATAGTAAATTCAACTTGCGTGATGAGTAACTCCTCCTTGATTAGTACTATCTATAATAAAAAATTCAGAGACAAAAAAATCCAAAGAAGAAACTGTTTAATGACTTTAACCCTATGTTGCATTTCAGCTGCTATGATAAATAACATTATATTATAGGAAATGATTCAGAAAGAATACATTTTAGATTAATGCTAAAGTCTTGAGACAAAAAGTGGGACAATTTTTAACGGTAGATTTAGCTACACAGTCGAAAACACGTAAGAGCATTTAAAATATTTTTTATCCTAGCTATAATTTTCGTTGGGATAATTTGACTGTTTTGTCATTTTAGGTACTGTATGAATAAATAAGTAAACTATATTTGAATGTATTGTTGTAAATTCATATTCATAAATACTACTTAAACTAATATTACATTACGACTTTTAGCGTCTTCCATATTTCATGCAATTTGAACATAGTTTTTCCTCATCTTTTGTTAACTAAATTTTATAAGTTTTGATGGTAAAATGTTCATATTATAGATGATTATTTCACAATAATAAAATAACTTCAATTATTAACATATTTATGATTTATTGCACATACACATAACTAATGCATTTTATATTATCATACTGTAAAAATAAAAGTTTAATGTTTTTTACTACAATTATTAGAACTTTTATATACCTTTTATGTTTTCTTGTGGAATAAACATACTCAACTCACTAGCATCATCAGAGGAACTTACTTTCATATCATACATCTGAAGTGTTGGCATATTTTCATACCTTTAAAGAAAAGACAGAATTAAAAAAAATAAGATAATGAAAAAAACTAATGAAGAGACAGCTTTTAAATGTTAAACTGCATAATAGTTAACAGTTGTTAAGTTAAAACAAATTTTTCTAATTCAAATATTTCCTCTGTAATAGTCTGGTCATTTTTTATCAACTTAACATTTACAGTGAAACATTTATGCAAAAACTGATAACGTTGGGTCCTACTAGACTCAAATAAAATTATACTTTTGGTGTATACTTTTCAAATATAAAATCACTTTTTCATATCAGTGATTAGCAGTTTTGTACTTAAAAATATGTTAAATACTTTTACAAAAAATCATGAAAGTATCAAGGCAGATAAAAAGTATAAGGTAAAATGTATTGCATGGGTCCTTGGGAACCTATCATAAGGATTAAAGATAAAATTCCACTGCATATTCACTGTATTCAATTTCAAATAATGATTTAAGATTATATGTGTAAGTATATCAATAAATAAAAGCATCACATAATGCTAAAATCTACTATGTGTGCAGAAAAAAAAATAATATTAAGTTTTAACAATTAATTTAAGTCATGCATATTATCCACCTCCAAGAAAATATATCAGCATCACTGAATGTTAAAAAATGCTTAAGTTTATTACAAAGAAAAATTACACCAATTAATCATTTTTAATAAAATTATTATATGATTGAAAGGCAGGTGTTTAAAAAATTATAAGCAGTAAGTAAGTAGTTTAAAGTAGCTTTCAAGCAGGATCTACAGCATGGAAAAGAGCAAACATGATGATGTAAGCAAACTCTAGGCACCTGAAACTTTGCTCACCTATAAAATATTACCAGGTTGAGACAAGTTTTCAGGTGGTTAGAATAAGCCCAAAAGGAAATCGTCATCACATGTCAAAACCAAATAGTTGAAAAATAATTAAATTATGCAAGCAGGCATTCTCATTCATCTTTTATCAATCAGGTACTGAAAACCAAATGTGTGCCAATGCATAATATTATCTATATAAAATATTACAAAATTTTTATCACTTTTCTATACACTTTAGGGATGGTCCCACAATATATTTTATATCTGTGACAACAATTTTTCACTGAACTATGAAAAAATGTGTCAAACTGTAAACATAATAGCCTATAGATATTGCTACAAATACAGATACACATATTTGCAAATTGCATACCGGTCAAGCAAACTGCCAAATAGAATGGGTTATAACCATGGAAAAGCTTTAAAACAATCAGCTGTAAAAAAATGACTTAAAAACCAATATTTTACAACAGCATTTTATTTATACATATACTGGTATTTTTTTTATATTAGAAATGACTATACTTTAATCTTGCAACTTTTCATTATACAGTTTACAGCCCACCAGCGGCCGAGCGGTAAAGTCGCTGAACACTGGTAGTTCGGTCCGGTCCGAATCCCACGAACGGGCTGACTGCATGGGTGTTTTCGTGGTTTTCCCCATGTGTAACGTGTATACGAGCCAGTTTCCCTTAGAAAGTCCTCCACGAAGGCATCCCTCCCCTTAGACAGATAGCCCTAGTGTGTTTTGCCATAATTAAATACTCCACACCACACCATTATACAGTTTACATCAATGGAGTTTTTGACAACAGAAATATATTTAGTCAAAGTTTTACCATGTTTTAGAAATATCATATTATACTGCTATGCCATTTACAAACCACATTATCTACCATGCCTAGCTGCTATAGCAAAAGATTTATCTCAAATTTATCTCATTGTCTGGCAAATAACTAAAGTGTTGCTTTTTGACATGAGAATTCCTCCCATTAAAAATTTTTAATTTTAATTTTTGCATTCTATCTATACAGTTTAATAAACTGAAAGATTTAAAAGCAATAAATACATTTTTAAGTAATTCAAATATTTGTTTTATTTTTAGTAAAACTTAAAATAGATGTACTTTAAAATACATTTCTTATAATATACTTATAATACATAACTTATAATATATCCAGGGTTCGTAGCCACATTTTAGTTAAAAAAAAAAAGCAGCTATAAGCACGTTTCAAGCACATTTTAAGAAAAAAAATAAGGACCTATCTAATTACATTATACACAACTGCATAACCTTAAAAGAAAAATTAGATTTGTAATTTAAAATATGAAAAATTCTGTATTTATTAAGAGAGAATGAGCATTACCCAACCATGGAAAACAACTACATTCTCTCTCTCTCTCTTTTTTTCTTTTTTCAAATTTTAAATAACAGTTCAATTTACAGAACTAGTTTACAATGAGAGGGAAAAAAAACCATGCAGAACTAAATTATATTACAAGTTTTAATGATGAAATTTCAGTTCAAAATAGAGAAAATTAATACAATTTATTTTTCCATTTATATTAATATTTAAATAATTTAACTTAAATCAAAATTCTGAACATTTTCTAAATTTTCATTGTATAACAGTTTTGCAAGCAAAGTGATTTAAGTAAAAATAAGTAAAAAAAGGAACTTTTCTGAAATCAGAAGATGGGAAATTGTTTCATGCAAACATCCTTTAATAGTAAAAGCTTAACTAACCCGCATACTTTGAAAATTGATGAATATTCTGAAATTCCAGTTCAAGCGTAACTTGGTAAAAAAGGAAAGGGGGTAGACTGTAGCCGTTCTTTAGATTTTTCAGCTAAATAATGCTTTTGACATTTCGATATGTGCATCATATAAAAAATAGCCGAATAGAACTGAAAAATAATCTGCTTAGCAAGCACAGAAAAACTCTTTTATCTCTGCGAAATATCGCAAACATTATAGCACAATAATTCTTTAATTCTTCCGCACATGAAATTACGCAATCGGAATCAACAGCTGCCGGTACTCAGAAAATAAATAACTAAATAAAGGAAAATGCCCATTTACTTCATCTAGTTTTCACTGTCATGCGTCCATGTAGCGTATTTACCACTGAGCAGGACACATCGCACGATATACATACCATACTCATATTGATTAATAAGGAGATTTACCTATCTGGGGTGTTCTTCATTCTAATTTTGAACAGACTGCATTAAATTTACGGAATAGAATCATTCTTCGCTTGGGTTGGTAGACTGCAAAACTTTTAGTCCTATTCAATCCAGGTTGGAAATTGACTATTAAAAAAAAGTCTGTTGCTTGTTTTGCTGCAAACTGTAATGGTTTCAATATTCGAGATTTTGCAGAGAACCAACTTCTGTACTGTATGTTGGAAAATATGACTTATTGTAAACCTTTACTGCATCATCTCTCCTCCTTGAAATGTTTATTAGGCTTAGCTCTTATTTTAATGTAATATAGTAGTTTTACTTCTACTTCTTTCTACTGCACTGTTTGTTGAGAACGGACTGTTTCAACCTAATTAAGATGCAAAAACGAAAAGTGATGTAATGTCATCTGGAAAGCCGAATCGTGCCGATAGTTGATTAGTTGCCGTGAGATGACGTCATGCCTACTTCTGGGATAAGTATCTCGTGGCGCTCTGGCTCAGCCCTTCTAGTTCCTGCTTTCCTGGCACTTCGGTGTGCGGTTTCCAGCCCCTTTTGAAGGATGCGTGCAGTCCGGTGAATAAGTTCTTTGGTTCCTGTCCACAAGATGACCTTTCCAGAATAAGTTCCTTGGTTCCTGTATACAAGATGACCTTTCCAGAATAAGTTCCTTGGTTCCAGAAGCTACAATGTGAGTGACTGCCGTGGGCGGCATCCATGTTCTTCATGAAGGCGACATTTAAAATAAGTTAGCGGCAATTCCTCGTGTTCAACTAATATAAGCGGAGTTAGGCCGGATTTAAGTGCTTTCAAGGACTTAATTTAAATTTCGGGTGCTTTCTTGACCATTGATCATGGACTTTTTAAATGTGTAGCCAATTTCATTTGAGACCGCATAATTATGTTTAGGACATTTGTTTGTATGAATGCCAGTATTTTGGAGACCAGTAAAATATTATTTGGATGAATGTTGGTTATATTATATTTTTCTAAGACTCTGATATTGTTTAAATTTCCTTTTTGTGTTTTTATTCTTTTTTATATTGTTAATAAATTGGTTAAGTTTGAAACCTCTTTATTGTCTTCCATGTCTGCACAACATATTATCTCAGGGAGCTTTTATTGCTACTACTGCTAAATGTTTAATTTTATAAACTTTAAACTTTGCTTTAGCATCACTGTATCGGGGGTGGGGGAATTTTTTTTTTCTTTTTTTACTATTCGATTATCTTCACTTTATTTATGTCATTCTGATTATTATTCCTTAGAAAACTAATCTGTGTTAAAACACACTTACCCATTTTTGATGTTTATACTTCAGCAGTTACTGCAAATATATTATTATAAATATTCATCCATATGCTCATAATATAACCATACAGATCATAATAAACGTGAATGTGAACTGACCACGCGGAACGAGAATGTAAATTATTAAAATCTTGATAGAAATTCAAATGTGTGTAGTATTGGTGGGGAACAAAAGAATACGAAATGTATTGCAATTCTTTGACCAATAGAGCGATATGCACCCGTCTGTACTCACGCGCAAAGTTATGTTAATGCAGAGAAAGGGGCGAAAAGCTATTTCTGGGAGTATGATTCACCATCTGACGTTCCATATAAGGAAGAAAAGTTATTTATTTAGCTTTGGCTTTGGTACGGGGAAAAAATGTGCGTTCGTTTTAAAAAAAAGCACTAAATGCAAAAAATAAGCAACTATAAGGGCTTTTATATTTTATTTTCAAATATAAGGACTTATAAGCACTTGTAAGGACCACTACGAACTCTGCATATCTAAGTGATAAATATCTGCAGTTAATGAAAGATATTTCACAGACTATTATAGGTTCAGTATGGAATCATTTGGTTTTCCATTAATTTATAAAAAAATACTTCAACTATCTCTTCAGTGTTCAGCTCAGGGAAAAAAAAAAAAAAAAAAAAAAAACAGCATAGAAATTTTGTAATACAAGACTATAAAATACATATTTACTAATTTTGATGAAATTACACACATCAAATGCACCTGAAACTTTGCTCACCTGACTGTTAATGCACAGGTTGAGACAAGGTTTCGGGCCCACATGACATGCGCTTTGTTCAATGGCTTTCTTTTTAAATTTATTTATTTATTTATTTTTGTATAGTTATAACATGTAGAATAAAGATTTATTCATTAAACTGTTAACTTCCCTGTTAAGTACACCTTTTTACAATATATATTTCTCTATTTAATGATTTTAATAGCATAATACTCAGATAAATTAAAGTGAAGGAATTAGATATTTTAATTAAAATTTCTGGTCTTAATATTTTAAAACAGAGAGAATATTTCTATTTCACAGGCATATTATATGATTCAAACTGTCAGGCAGCATTAATATCACAATCTTCTCATATACATTTATTACATTTGTAATTGATCAATTAATTTGTTAAATAGCTGACAATACTTATACAAAGAATGTGAGACAAATATCATGCTCTTTCATAACAGTGAAAAATTTTGAAATGAAAAATAAATATCAATAATAGTAATACACACCTGAACAAAATGTTCAAATTATTTCCATTTTCACTTCTTTTCAAGGAATTTAACTTAACATGGAACAAAAGTGAATGATACAGATCTGACTTGGTTATATTTACTTGATGCACATTCATCTGATCAGCCATCAGCAATGTCTTATTTATACACTAAAGTACAAAAACATATATTAATTAACATTTAACATTAAAACATTTGATAATTTTTATACTACAAATATTAAGAAAAAAATTATCATCATGGATAACTATTCATTCATCATATGCACAAAACAAACATTTGGCAATTTTATTGAATTTAGCAAAAGAAGTATTTTATCAAAACTATTCACATGAAACAATTTATCCTGGCTTGGAGTAAATCGTAACAGACCTGGGGCAAACTGTAACAATAAGAATGATGATACTTTGTAGAGTCATTAGGTTATTTCGAAGCAGGAGAGATGAAAAATGTGCAATGCCCCCACAGGGAATCGAACCAAGAACCTCTCGTATCCGCGTCGAGTGTGATGACTACTACACCACGAAGGCATGCTAAGAAGGCAGGAGAAGTACCTTATATACTCCCCCCTTTTAAAGGGCTACTGGGAATTAGGAGACCCAGTTGCCAAATCCTGGTGGTGGAGAATCAGTTCAGTCACCACTGTTCAGGAGTCATTAGGTTATTTTAAAGCAGGAGAGATGAAAAATGAGAATGCCATTGCCGGGAATTGAAACACAAACCTCTCGAATTCGCGTCGAACATGCTGACCACTATAACACGAAGGCATGTTAAGAAGGCAGGAGAAATACTTTAAAACTTAAAAGAAACTTTGGTGACTATTATTATTTGGTATAGTGACAATGAATGATATCAAGTAAAACAAAGATAAAATTATTTAACCAATCAACATAAAAGTCAGTCTTCATCAGAACTGCAGTTAACACAAACAAATGATAAGATTGTTTCTTCTCACGTATTTAACATGTGCCCACATTTTGCAAATCAGCATTGCATCCACTCTTCTTCAAGCGAATCGCTATAGGCATCTTGTGAAGCTAAGTACAACCACATTTCAGAATCTGTACAGGAGTTAAAAATCCTAATCTCCTATTTTAATTCCTTATTTTCTTTATGGATTTTTTCCTAACTATTATCTTGCTTTTATCTCTATTTCCTTTTTTCCTTTTTTATTATTTATCTCTTCATATTCTTTTTCCAGTGCTTCTATTTCAGGGTGTCAGTTAGAATGGGAGATTTTCTTTTATTTTGGTTTCCGTTAGACTGCTTCTGAGGTGATTACTTGAGCAGAGATCTAATCATTGAAAGTGAAAAATAATTTTTTTCTGTTTTGGGAAAGAAAACTAGATGGAATAAAATAATTTGCATGTTAACATTTAAAGAAGAAAGTCTAACTACATGAATCAAGATCTCTGAGCAAATTGCAATATACAACTTACTCCACAATTTTGTTACAACTTGCCCCATCGTATGGTTTCTGACATTTTTATTGATGTATAAAGAAATACTTTAATTAGTAAAAAAATTAAAACAACATTTTGAAACTTAACACACAGACAAAATAAAAAGGTAAAATCATTTAAAAAAAAGACCAATTACCTTACCTTAATTCAAAATTTACAAAGTATCCCCCACTTCATTACCTATCTAAGACACAGTACGTTCACAGCCTCTCAATACCTGCTTCGGTGGGGCACTAGTTGCGCTTATGTAATACGGAAGTTCATAAGAATCAAGTTTAATGAAAATTCTTATCAAGAATTTAAAAAAAAAAAAACACCACAATACATACTTATTCCTGTTACAACTAGCCCCTAGCTCCCCAACATATTTGCAGTTATTTAATTGAAATATTAAATAAATATATCAAAATAAATTTTACTTTAAATCCAGTAGTAATTAATAGATTGGATTCATTTCAAATGTATGATAGGAGATGTTCACGAGAACAAAACAAACAATTAACTGCACAGAAAATTATATCCATAAATAGATGACATTTTATAGGAAAAGCAAATTGAGACATTTTAGTAATAATTGCTGCCAATTATTATCTAGCAATTTGCTTGAATGAGTTTGAAACAATTAGAACTAAAACTCAATAGATAAATCTTATGTGATCTTCCCAAAACTCAACATAGCAACATAGTGTTGCTACATCTAATTATGTGAAAACAGACATACAGGCAGTTTTAAAATATTTCAATTAGTTTTTACAATACTAAATGCTGAAATAAACTAATGTATTTGAAGATACTTATTTTGAAATATTTCATAACTAGATAGTATATAATAGCTATTTAAAGAAATATAAGAAGATTATTAAAAATATAACCCTTACTTAAATATTTAATTCATCAAACTCAATAGAATAATTGTTTGTATAAGTCTAACAAAGTTTATTAGCATTCACTACTTACAGAAGCTTACCTGATAGGTATGGTTGCGAGGAAAATAAACAGTGAAATTTAAATAATGTTCTGTTTGTTCAAACTGGTCATCAAACAGCAATGTTAACACTACAGAAACTATTGTGGTATGTGAATCTTTTAATAACATCTCATTGTGATACATAGTGATGTAGTCAAACTCCTGAGCTATCAATAATGGATATTCTATAGACTGCAAGCAATCAAATGACTGACATCTAAAAAAATAAATAACAAAAATCAAGAATATCTTACCCTATGAATAATACTAAACTTTGACATTTTAAAACATAATACCAAATTATAATCAAACATAATTTTAAAGCAAAATAACATTTAAAAAACCAAATAATAAAAAAATTACCTTTTGATTCTACTTTTTTCTTTTCTGGACTTTAAAATAAAACCATCTATTTTAACTTTTGTTTGTTTAAGTTGCAAAAAGAATCTATTCTCTTTCAGCAGGTACAAAGCTCGAATAAATATATGAGGTACTATGATATCAATGGGATCTTCTATTTTATGCCTTGTCAACATAATTTCCTAAAATTACAAATATGTAACAAAAAAGTAAATATTTTTCCGTTTTTTTTAAATATCTCTGTATTACATAAATTTCATATGAAATGAAATTAATAACATAAAGACAACTCAGTACGATCAAGTAGATATCACACATGAGCCTTAAAGATAATATTCAGAAAGAAAGTGCTACATTAATTTTGATAGAAGAGTCAGTAGTCAAAATTATTTGCATTAATTTCAAGAATAATAAATTATTCAGATTTGTTGGCACTGATGATTCTGTACCATAGTGTGAATATTCTGGTAGGAAAAATAATTTTTTTGCAGTTAATTTATAATTCAGAAGATTCATGTATCCTTTAAAAATGTTAATAAAGTAATCATACAAATATTATGATATGCGTTTGAAATTAAAAATAACACAATCTTTATGGCTTCAAAAATTTATACAATTTTTTGTAACTGATAAGATGGTAGGAAGTCTCAAATCTTAAAATGTCAGAATCGGCAGTGTTGATAACATCAGTAGCTGAAAGTTAAAGCAAAATGTCCTAACATCTGTTAAATTGTTATTCTTATAGCCCAACAATGTGATTGCTCCATGCCCTTAAGTTAAAGATTTCTTACTTGCACTCCAAACATCTAGCCATGTAATTTTTTTCACCACTAACCAGGTGGAAAATCTCATGAAAAGACAATGATTGCAGTACCACCATGATGTAAAGAGGGCTGTACTTAAAATTTCTTATGCAGCGGACAGCTGATTTCTACTGTAAAGGCATGTATCTGGTTAATGGAATGACTACTTAATGCCAGGAATAATTTCTTCAAAACAGAGAGAACGTACTTGGTCATTGCGGATAAAAAACTTCTGCCATAAAGGCATGGTTGAGTTGCTTTGCCAGAGGGACTATTTGCCAGACTTATTTAATGCTTAATGACAGCAGTAATTTAGTCAAAACTGAATGAACTATGCTCTACAGCCACACAGACCTTGAGCTAAACACCTTAACTTCACAATTTAGATACCCATTCTTTCATTTTAAATATGCATTTGAATACACAGTGTAACATGGACTAACTAGTTTATAAAATAAAATAATGACAGCTCACCTTCTTAAGAAAACTTCATAACCTTATTAATTTTCAATAATATTACATGAAAGTAAAAAAAAAAAAAAAATAAATAAATAAAGTTTACCTTTATCTCATCTATTAAATATTCTCTTGATATGCTATTTAATTCATGATTTCTCACAGAATTAGACTGTGTTGCATAGCCTAATTTTGATAAGAATACCATTATTGCATATTGCAGTTTTGCAGATGCATAAGAACCATACAATCTTGATCTAAGGACATATATTTTCAAGTAGATGTTGTATGCCTTTTGAAGATCAAAAACGTTTATCTGAAAATAATTAAGAACAAATTACATAAGAAAAGATATACCATCAAAAAATGAAAAACTACGTAAAATAATGATACTTTGATACCTACTTACATTTTGCACATCAGAAATGATTTCACTTAGAGCAGACAAAGCTTGCACAGCTTCAACCTATCATTACAATATAAAGTTAAAATATGTTGCACAGTGCAAATTGTCTAATCTGACATTTCTAGCATAAAGTGGCACAATATAAATAACATTACAAAGCTACAGTTAAAAGTTAGTACAAGTATAACCCGCCTGAATTACCAATGCTGGTTGGTTTCTCTGCTTAAAATTCTCGATTTTAGACAATGGTGGAATAAAAATATAGATCTTCTAAGACAGCCATTTTTTGTTTCAAAATTGATTTTCTTTACCTCATTTTTCAAAGGCTAAGGTATAATAACTCATTTAATTCTTATGTTACAGAAATTTATTCTACGTAAATAAAAAATGATTATTCTTAACAAATTTTTTAATTACTCATAAATTTAAGGATTTTTGTAGGGAACAATACCTAAAAAAAAAAAAAAAAAAAAAAAAAAAAAAAAAAAAAAAAAAAAAAAAAAAGGGAAAAGAGGAAATAATCTTATTACATTGTGACTAAATGATTTTTCTTTTCTAGTAAGGCAGCTATCTGTGTCAACCAGTTTGTCTGAATAACAATGCAGAATTAGCATTCAACTCAGCATTATAAGGAATATATTAATAAAATTATTGCCCACATTTTTTTAGTTAAATGGAAACCCATTGTAGTATTGTATGGAAATAACTATGGATGTTTTTAAAGGTTTGGAGGGCTTTCCCTTCATTCTAATCATTAAAAGTAAATGAAGTCACAACCTATCTAGAAAGGTATTATCACTATTTACTGCAGCAAGAAAATATCCAGTAACAATAATTAAGATAAGGAGGAACTTGAAAATTCTAAGAGAAAGTGATGCAGCTGAGGAAATAAAATTGCTAAATACTGTTGGTCACGTTATACTCAATTCTCTGTATCAAACAGACTAGTTGCTTGGGGTTTTTCTCATGCATAATACAGGGGTATGAGCTGGTTTCTCTTAGAAAGCCCTTTGGAAAGCCAATCTTTCTAAAGGAGATGGTATATAAGAAAAACATCAATTCCCTATAGCCAAACAATTATTCTATAGGGAAAAAAAGCTTTATGATGAGTACGCATAGCTTAACTGTAAATTCAGAAATGCTTCTTTTGGTGATAATTATCTGAAATTTGGATCTTTGTATTATCGCCCTGCATTGCATTTAAAGAAATTAAATAATGAAGAGATTGTATGAATGATTTCCGCTCCGTGAAAAAACAACATTACTTAGAACCATCCAATTTTGAATAATGCAGACCTCCACCCGAACATGGGCAGCTGGAAGCCCGAATTTGGAATTTGTTTTATTATCTATTTCATATTTTGTAAATCATAAACGAAATTTTGATTAACAAGCTCAACGGTTTGAAAGCGAGCAGTAGCCACACTGTACGGAATAAGACATTTTTATATATCCAGCATGAGACTGTCTATTCGAAGTTCTAAAGATATGCTGTTTTTAAACATTTTGTGAGCTGTTGAATGGAATAGTAGGTCGCGTAAGCGAAATGAATGTGATATAGTATAATAAAAAAAGTAACCATACAAAAGGTTAATAATAAAAAGACAAAAACAAATTTTGTAAAGCTATCTTAGTAAGAAAACTGAACATCGTTATGATGAACCGAGAAAAATACTGAAAAATCAGAAAAATATATGTCAACAAAACGCTGTTTGGGGAATTCTAAATCACTCATTACCAATGACTTTTAATTTGCTTTGCCTTACAAGTTCTTTTTCTTCTTTCTTTCTTTTTTTTTTTTTTTATTTCTGTTGTCTCCTTCTCCTTGTAGAAATATAACAATTAAAAACACAGTTATGAAAAACTACCATTGAGATAATATGGTATAACATTAACAGCAGTACAGTATTTTTAGTAGTAAAAATTTAAATAAAAATTGCACAATTGTACAAATGAAATCGTATAATGCATAAAGGAAAATTTTAGCAGTTTACTCTTAGACATATTGTCATAAGTTTCAGATAAATATTTCCATCCAGAAAAAGTAAACTTGCTTAATACATACACATTTATATCACTAATAATAACAGGCTGCTAAATTATATTTAAAGCAAATGGTCTTTTCAATAAATACTTTAAACTCTTTGCTCCCAGCATATCATGCATGATATGCTTCAATTCCCTTATGTTCCTACCCAGGGTTCATACAATTTTCTGCACACGGAAATTAAGTACTTTTAAGGACCATTAATGAAAAAAAAATTAAGGACCTATGAGCAAATGGGAAATGAATAAATTCAATTAAAAATATTGTCTATGCCTGAATTTCACTTTTGTAATACCATCCTAAAAATAAAATAGATTCCTAAGTAGTACGCATTATTACTAAACATGAATTAATGAACATAATTATTAATAAGTTTGAGAATAAAATAAACTTTATGCAATTTATCATTAAATATTTTTACACTTATAATAGTTGGACATATTTGAAAGAAGATAAGTCACATTTACGTTCTACTAACAGATAGATTTATGTTGATTTTTTTTATGTCTCATTTTGTCACATACTTGGTCAGTCTATAGCAGCAGTTCTCAACCTTTTGACTAACACGTTTAAACAAAAATTCAAAACCTTTAGTATCACTGCTACAAAGCACTAGTACCACCACCACTCTTGAACAAAGCTCAGATCGCATAAATCTACAATTGTTAGAAGAAAAACTCAATCAGGATGTTGGGGTTTTAATTTTTGAATTTAATATTTTTAAAATTTATTTTAATAATCATCCTTTGTGTCGTAACTATTCGGTTATTGCACTGAAATACTTATAAAGCGCCTGCGAACAATTTTACTTTGTCTGTATTCCTTATATATCACTCTCTTACACTCTCGTCATTGTGACGTACCATCTGTGTCATCTGGTTACTTTCTGAAATTTGCATATGATCCTTGAAGATGTGTGTAGTGATTTTACAGGTGATATATTTTTTAGAGTTCGATTTCCGCGTGACTCCGAATTATCCTTAATTTATGGACATGAGTGTATTTATTAATATCTCTTTTTTTTTTTTAAACTTTTATGATTTTTCCTTTCACATTTCGAAATTTAGGTTCATTCCAAATAAAATTTACCAATTTTTTGTGTTTTATTTTTTAAATTACTATTTTTAAATAAATTTTATAAATTTTTTGAAAAAAAATTTGAATTATAACTTATGAAATTTTTACCATCATCTTAAAGTAGGTGTATTTCTAAGCATACCTGCAAAAATTAGACTGTTTTATTCAAAATTTTCTAGATATCCACGAATTTACATATTTTCGCATTTTGAAATTTGGCATCTTTTTTTAGCGATAATAATGTCAAATGTGGTTTATGGATTTTCAGTTTGGTTCAAGTCTCAGCTTAAAAAATATATATATATATAAATATAAATTTTTATATTATTCCTCTTAGAAAGAATGTTTTAAGAAGCTAATTTTTCTCTCACGTTATAGATTGTATAAAAAAACATGATCTTTAATTAGATTTAGATTGTTTCAGCCGATATAAGAATCGGGTCACTCGGTGGTACAGAATAAACACTGCTGGACTGTTTTATTTCTTTGTCATTTAGCAAAAAATTTTTTAATTTAAATATTTATCCTTTGGACTTTGCTCTATACTTTGTTTATAGTTAAAATATCTAGAAAATGAAAAGCTGTCTTCAACTGAAATGCAGTTGATGCAATTGATATTTTTAAAAAAATGACAAGAATGCAAAATTTATGGAAGTCTAGCAATCGAAAAATCTTAATTTTTCTTGTGTGAGCACTGAAAATAACTGTAGAAAGAAAGAAGAAAATTTAAAGAGAAAAGGAAGCAAAAATTTGGAGGGAAATTTGGCTGTCAGACATACCAAGATGTTTCAAAAAGTTGAATGCTTTTGAATACACTTTCAGGATACTTTAAGGAATTTAGGTGTTCAAGCAGAAAACACTTGGAGGTGTACACCAGCAAATACCATCAATTCAGCTTGTGTTAACAGAAAAGACAAAAACAATATCATTGCAGATTAAAGTGAAGAGCAACTGGTTTTAGACTATAATGGTTCAGTTTTAGACTGGTAGTTCGGTCTGAGGTTCGAATCCCACAAACCGGCTGGCTGCATGGGCGTTTTGATGGTTTCCCCCATGTCTAACGTGTATACGAACCAGTTTCCCTTAGAAAGTCCTCCACGAAGGCATCCCTAAACTTAGACAGATAGCCCTAGTGTGCTTTGCCATAACTAAATAAACCAAAACCTCTTGATGAAACCAGCCTTTCCTTTCATCTCATACCTTCAAAATGCTAACCGCTAAAGATTGATAACGGCTCTGACTTAAATACTGATGAAATGGATTGAATTCGATTATTAGGTTATGGAAAGCAGGGCTATCTGCCTAAAAGGAAGGATGCCTTCGTGAAGAACTTTCTAAAGGAAACCAGCTGGCATACACGTTACACATGAGAAAATTCCACAAAAACGGCCATGCAAGCAGTCCGTTTACAGGGATTTGAACCCCGGAGTGAACTATCAGTGTTCAGCGACTTTGCCACTCGACCGTTTGTGGGCCTTTATGAAATGGAAGGAAATAACTTTATTTAAAATGATTGTCAGAAATACCAAGATCTTTCTAAAAGTTGGATGCTTTTTAATATACTTGCAGAATGCCTGAAGAAAAAGAGTAAGAATAAAGCAGAATGCCCAAAGAAAAACTGTTTAAATCAGTGTATGCCAGTCATTCTATGTTAAATTTCAGTTATACATCTCTCTTATTTATATATCTTTTCTGAACAGAACACTAAAAGGCGTGTTGACTGTGCTTTACTGTATTTTCTCTTTTAATATATGCAGTTTTTAAATGCTTCGTAGTCTGGGTCACAAAGTATTCTTCCGAAAGAAACACAATTCAAATAAATAAAATCAAATTCTGGAAAATTTATATTTATAAATATATTTACAATGCTCAGTTCGAATGAATAAATAGAAAATTTTAAAATAATTATCCGAAGAGACAATGCAACACTAACAATTAAAATAAAAGTCTAAAAATTTAAAAATTACCTAAATAGTAACTATGACTAAAAATATAGTACAAAGAAAACTATTTGACGCAGTTCGAATGAGTAAATAGAAATTTTTAAAACAGTTATCCGAAAGAAACTATGCAACGTAAACAGTTAAAATGAAATTCGGAAAAAAAAAAAAAAAATAAAATTGCTTAAAAACAATTATAATTAAAAATATAATATAAAGAATATTATTTGAAAGAAAGAAAGACTGAGTCTTTTTTTCCTCTCACGCACTATGTAAAAATGGAAATGAAAATAGGTTGCCACATATTAAGAAGTTCAACAAGTGAACTAGTTTTGGCGCAAATTGAATAAAAAGCACAAATATAAATTGTTGAATTTCTCCCTAAATTTCGCACCGAATTTTACAAAATTTAATATTTAGGCATAATTTGAGTCGTAGAATCAAAATATGTAAAAAAATTGGTATGTTATTTCAGAAAAAGTTCGATTTTGTGTCAAAATATCTATGTTAGAATAGTGCTATATATAAATCTAATATATATCCTAAGTCGCGCTTTCGAGACATGAAGAATGCAATTTGAATTTCGTGAATCGACTCAGTAGAACGGGAGATATAGAACTGTCCCCCCCTTTTTTTTAGCAGCATACCTATGAGAGTTTACTTGATCTGGTAAAGTTAAATAGTCCAAAACCTCCGACAGGCATTATGCAAATTATCGCTATGGCCAAAAGTAATTACAATATCAGACAAAGGTTTAAATAAGCCTCTTATTTAAAAAGGATTTAGAACATAAAGGCATGTTCTGATGCTAACAAAATCAATTGCAGCTCACGGTGATGCAATTAAACAAGAACAGTCAAATTCAAACTAAAAATGTGGACTATTGGCCAAAGATTATAAAATTTTATTTTAATTTATTCTGGCTCAGTAAACTATCATATGAGGAAACAGAAATGGGAAAATTATAGTAAAGGCTGAAATCATAAACAATTGGGTAATTTACATAATAATAACTGCACATATCTTTGAAGAATCATTTTCTTTATGTATTCGGTTTCTTTCTTCAACACGTTTCCATTCCATTTTATAATTTTTGGATTTAATTACGGATTTCTGTTATTCTAAAAAACACTAAATACATTTAGAATGTATAGAAAAAGTGGCTAATTTTATTTCTTTAGTAATATGAACATTCAGAAGAAATATGAAATATATATGGTAAAGGCCCGTTACAGAGCTGGTGTGGCAGAATTTTTAGAATTTAGTGACACACAGAACAACAAAATCCAGAAATGGCAAATTATAACTCATGAACCCATTCAAAAGATTTACCATATATACGGCAGTGAATCGCCAAAAATATTCCTCCAAAATGCTAATATAGCAGTTGTAAAAACAGACAGAAATTTCAGATGATTAAAATTAAGGACCTTCTGCTGATTTTGGCCAAAATTTAAGGACTTTTAAGGACCAAAAATCGATTCCAAAAAATTTAAGGACTTTTAAGGACCATACGAACCCTGTATTATTTCCTCTAAAAAACTAAAAGCATCAAAGCATATGTACAGGAGCGACATACTATCCTTCTGACTTATACAATCTGCTTGTAGTCAAATCGTGATAACATTTCAACAAAAATTATGTCTAGCAAATCTCAAATATGATTAGTAAGACTTCTAACTATTACACAATATATACATCATCTAGTGCATTAATTTTTACAATGAGAAAGCAAATGGAAAGTTATGCTGTGCAATATTTTAGCACTTCAATCAAAAAAAAAAAAAAAGGGGGGGGGGAAGGAGAAACATTACAAATTTCAAAATTTAAAATTTCTATTCGAATAAGGTACTAAGGAACCGTATATACCCGCGTATAAGTCGAGATATTTTGGACAAAAAAAAAAAAAAAAAAAAAAAAAAAAAGGCTTCAAAGTGCAGGCGTTGACTTAAACACAGGGCCATAAAAAATTAAAAGAATCGGAAGTTCAAAAAATTTCTTTAAGATGCAGTTGTTTCTTCCCGCACTCAAATTGGATGACTTATCAAATAAGTCACTTACTGTGAAGTAATTCATGAAATTTAAATTATGGTGACGAACTAATCACAGAGTTTCATACTTTAACTAGAGTAAGTTTCGATTAAACCAAAGAATTTTCGGCCCCCGAATAACCGATCAATATCGAGAATAAAAAAGTTTTGCCAACACGCCAAGAAAAGAGAAATGCAGATAGTTTTTATGTACGTATAAGTCTTTATAATAGTTATTGTTCATTCATGAAATACTTTTGTTAACAGGCGTACACGTCAAAATTAAAAAAAATAGCCCACACAATAACTGAACAGTTTTGAATATTTCTTTTAACTTTTAAAAAGGGAAAATGCAGATAGATTTTACGTACGCGAATCTTTTCCAGAACAAATTCTAGAAGGTTACTATATACGATCATTTTTCTTCAATTATCCTGCGTGTTGGATATGTTGGCGACACTTTTGCCTGAGGAAGTGACAAAACACCTAAAAAAGACTGTGGCTGTAATTCTGGGAGGACTGACATCCGTCATTCAAACCCTAGATGTCTGCCTCAATAAGCCCTTCAAAGTAAATGTTAGAAAATATTGGGCAGAGTGGATTAGTTCCGGTCGACCAACATTTACAAAGGGAGGCAACATTAAGAAGCCCGATATTGCATTAATTGCTCAGTGGGTAAAGATGCTTGGAACGAAATACCCTCTGAAATGATTATAAAATCATTTAAAAAATGTTGTATTAACAACGAACTAGACAGCACGGAAGATGATGCTGCTTTTGAAAGTGAAAATGATGACAAAGGCTCTAGTAGTGATTGTAACAATACAGAGTTCGAGACTGAAAATATGTATGATGACGAGCCAATGACAACAGAAGAGTTCTATGAAATGTTTGGCGAATTGGACCATGAATCGGATGTTAAAGGATTTTGATTTTGCTTATTTACCAAGGTATTTTTTATCGTATATTTACTTTTTTTTTCCTCAGATGATTTTGAATACATGTAGTACTTTAAAAAAATGTTTCGAAGTTTCTCGATCGATTGCGGAAGTGGGGGGTTGACTTATTCGCGGGTTTCTTATTTTCTACGAATTTTTTATGTCGAAGTGGGGGGGGGGGTCGACTTATACGTGGGTATATACGGTAATACTTTCATCTATCATTAATACTGAATAGAAGTTATTACAGACATTCTCATTCATTAAGAGAAAAAATATCTTTACCTTATTTAATATTTTCAGATTGTTAATAACTTCAAAATATTTAAGTCTGATTTTTTCTCTCAGAATTTTTCCATCAGGATCTGCTGGAAACCAGTCATCTAAAACATTGTTCAGAGATGATGACAAAACATGAATTCTATGCAAAGCAGCTTGATTCCTTTTCGCTCCTAACAATTTCTTTAATTCAGATCCAGGATGAAATGTTTCATTATAGCTAATAACAAAACATACATATTTATTTTGAAGTGTATTTGCGAAACAAATTATAAAGAGCACTGTACAGTCAAAAGTTGTTAATTCGGACACACATAATCCGAAACGATCTATAATCCGGACATCAAAGCCACAAACTTTCTGCGCATGCATCGCGTTGACGCATGTGCGTAAGACCTTTACGGCTGCGAATACACATGTGCGCATGCACATAATACGTTTACGAATGCGTGTTTAATGTATAACAGACGGTATAAGCTAAGCTAAAATTATCTAATTCAGTTAATGTTGCAGATTGCGTTGTTCCTTAATCTTCAAATTGGATCCGGCTTATTATTTTTTGCAGACTGTTAGAGCAATTTTATAAAAGTAAGCTTGACTTTCGATTATGTTAAATAGAATTTACGATATATATTTACTAATATGTAAAGGATCTACAAAGCGAAAGTATGTTTCGAAGTCCATTAAACAAAAAGTGGAATTGCTGCAAAACATGGATAAAGGAATATCCTTCGTTTCTCTAACCATTCCGAAATCTGTTCATCAATTTCATGCTGCTCAGCGGCGGGGAGGGGGGCGCGCTATGAATTGGAAGTTGATCTGTCAGCACTATCCTTATCTTCAGGGCAGATGTTTTTATTTTATTTGGCTTGTAATTCCTTACTAAATGTAGTATTTTATCTCGATTTACTCTGTCTTTGATATGATTTAAATCAAATTCTTCGTCATTATAATTCACTTCAATAGTGAAGGAACTGACACAGAGGTTATTGAGAAGGAAAAAATTTCGATTGACAAATAGTCGCTATTCTCAACACAGCAATTATAGGACTTGAATAGCGGAACTTTGTAACTGAAGAAGAAATTATGTCTGTTTATAGAATTAAAGAGAAAGTATTATCACATAAAAACGAAGCAACTGAAACAACTTACATTGAAAGAAATGTTTAATAAAGTAAACAAATAAATATTAAGCTTTTTTTTTTTTTTTTTTGTGTGTGTGTGTGTAAATTTTGATACCCTTTAGATCATAATTGTTCTTTATTTCATAAATTACGGTTTCATATTTTTAATTTTATAATTTCTGCATGCCATCTTACCAGATTTAAACTGATGATCTATAATCCGGAATCGCCGAAGTCCCGTCGAGTCCGAATTAATGACTTTTGACTGTATTTCATTTACACTACACTTCCCATAATAGCCAAAAAAATTTATTTTTTAGCACAAATAGAAGATCACAATATTTAAATACATAAATAGTTGATAGTTTGACACAATTAAACATAAACAAAATTAAATATTATAGCATTTTCTTACATTTTTTAAAAATTTGCTTTGCTTTGAAGATGATTGACAGTAAGGTGTACGTTTTGAGCAACTGCTTTATTTCCATAAAGGGAGGAAAACAGTTCAGAAAATGTGACGTCTATGGTTAATTAATGAATGAATGACTCAAGGACTATTTATAAAGTTAAATGATAGAGATACAAGAAAATATATTGTGGTTTTCCTGAAGTTGATAATGGCCAAATATTCACATTAATTTAACAAAATACATATCCTTGAACAAGGCAGATTACTGATATAATAATTAAAGACATACCGAAACACTAAAAGCATTAGAAAAACTATGCTAACACACTAAAAAATAAATGCTAATTTAAAACGGTTGCTACATGACATTACTCTTTAGCCAATTTAACTTCCAATTAACCTGAGAAAGCACATGCTCCATTCTCATGCAAGAGAACACAAGTGAAGTAGATTTGACACCTACCTTTTTTTCAAATTCTTGCTGCTCAAAGTAGGTTTTGTATAATGTATCTATACTTTTTTTAACATTTCATATTCTGAAATAATTATCCACAAATACTAGTACAAATACAAAACTGTTCAAATTATATTTACCATATTTAATACAAAAATACAAATTATTACATTAAAATGCAAAAAAATAATTAAATGATAATTTTTTTATTTTTCTGCATTCAGATCTAATTATTACTAAATTATTAGCCCAAAGGGCCATTAGCGCAGAAAGTCTATGAATCTCGAAATGGCATTTTGTATCGAATAACTGTATCACTTTTCAAATTGTTGCGACTGAACATAATCCTTCTGTATTATATTTAAAGAAATTAAATAATGAAGAATCTTCATGAATGTGAGGGCACTCTAAATATGCGGTGAGTTGAAAGTCCTTGAGAGGTTGGTAGTAGGGGAAGAGGGGTGGGAGACTCTTGAAACCCGCTCCCAGGGGTACTCTATAAATATTGGGGGCGCAAATGAGCTAAATCGCACTGTCACCTGTATGGTGCTCAAGGCTGTTGCCAACGGTAGGTGTAAAACTTGCACTCCTTACCACGAGGAATTTCATGAGCTTGGGCTGACTATAGGTCAGACAAGCGAGCATTAGCAACAACAGCAGCAATAAATTTCATACTCCTAGAATTAAAACAGGAAGGATTATATTATATATCTTCACTACTCTAAAAGTATACTCACATATAACGTTCCAATGAAGTGTCAATAGGTAAGGGTTCAACCATTCGTGCAAGAGAACAGACTTTTGTAGCAGCTCCTATACTGTCTCTTACAACTACATTGAGATACACTGGAAAGGAGAAAAACTGAATATTGACTTATGTATGAATTCAGTACATAGAAATAAAATTAAAATGTGAAATAAATGAAAATCAAATACTGGAATAAAACAATATTCTAAAATATGAATACATTATGTTAAGTTTATAGTTTCTGTTGAATAATAATTCTCATCTATACTTGTCGTCAATCTAATCTGAAAACATTTAACAAGACTACAACGACCAAATCGCAGCTTTTCCTCCAGTTTTTCAAGTTATCCATATTCAATTCCACTCATTTCTTCAATAATGTGTGCATATAATTTGGCAGTTGTTTGCCGAACTTGGTGAGTTAAATCAGCAAATTTTTGTTATTATTATTAATGGGAAGGTGGTCAGGTGTACAATGAAGCTCAAGTTGTTAATGTTCTAAGCCAGACAAACTGCATTGCTTTACCTGATCCCCATATTTTGAAATTTAGTTCACATGCACTGAACAATTTACAACATCAAAGGCTGAAATAATATTTAAAGTTAAATTGGAGTAATAATATCCTTTGCACAAGACTCAATTTATAAAATTAAAAGAGCTGGAGCCCTAAAGGCCACAGGAAAGATGAACAAAAGTAAATAAATAAACCGATAATGAAATATAGCAAAAGCAGAGAGATGATTAAAAAGATTATTAAATTATAGGCAGTATACGTTAAATTACTGACAGAATTAAATAACAAATTAAAGTATAAGAGCTCATCTGATATGGAATTCAGTTGGAATTATTATTTTGGTTAAAAACTAAGAATTACCATAGCCCAGCTACGGTAAGCTCTGGCTCAATACAGGCTCTGCCTTTGCAGTTTTGTTTCCAAAGCTGTTACACTTAGTTAAGATAAAAAAACTGATTTCTTCGAATGCCTATGAAGCACCTCTTAAATTTAGTACAACTATCAGAAAAATGTGTTTGACTGAACGCAAATAAAATAATTGAAAGAAAATGCTAAAATATATCTATAAATTTTTCAGGAATTAGCTTTGTTTTATTTATAGAGTAATATGCACGTCAATTTACTGTGAAAAAAAGGAGGGGATTCAGATTAGTTTTGAATTTCAATGTTTATAGATTTATTATATCTAGTATTATTTAAGAAATTCAAGTTACATTTCGCAGGCAGTTTACAAACATTATTTCACTGTTATGTGTAATGCCTTAATTATTACTTAATAATAACAATGGCAAGCAGCAAATCTCTATATATCTAAATCTCTGGCAAGCATCAAATTTATTTCACTATTATTATTATTATTATTTATTTCAATCTCTTATTTGAAATTTCTCACTTTAAGCCTAGGCTGCAATAATTAAAGATATAATGTGATTGGAAGAGTAAATAACAAACAAAAAAAATTTTATTTTGCAGTCTGAAGTCAAATATGTGGATAGATCTGAAGATAAAATCCAAATTCCTTTTTGACAAGAAGGGATATAAATATTAGAAAAGAACACATTGGATAGTTAATTTCGGCAAAGCATTAAAATTCACAGAAAATGCCACTCACTCAAAATGGTACAATGCTATGAAAAGGTATTATTAGAAATATATTTCTAAAGGATAAAATTGATTTATTTCCAGAAGTGATGTTACATGTTAATTTATTATTTTCACTGTTTGATTGAACCCAAAGCAATAATATGAGTAAATCCCATTTAAATATCATACTTAATATATATGTAGCTTAATTAAGAACATTCATAATTATACTCTTTATGGAAAGTAATGCAATATGTGAATGTGCTGCAACTCTCCTGGCCGATAATAATCGGCACCATGATTAACACAGCACATTGAAAACACATTAAAACTAAAATGCTGTTAAAGACATCAAACCAAAATTCCCAGTATTGTTCTATTGCCATTTATAAAGTTCATCAATTCTTTGCAAATGTAAACTCTTTCCTGCAGCAATAGAATTCCTTTATGTTACAATGTTTTTCCCTAACATTTTGCGATAATATGCAACCTTCGACGAAATGTCGCTTATTGCCTTCAGCACTACAAAGATATTATTTTGCAAATTAAATCTTTTCAGGTATGCCGGGAAGCGCCCGTATCCAGTAATTATTTGATTGTAATCAAAACCAAATATCATTCTTATATCTTTAGAAACTTCATAAGTTCAAGAAATAATCTTTCCTTTTTTCTGAAATGTTCCATTTCTCTTTCCAACAATCATAATAGAGATCCTTTATTTTTACCAATAACATTTTTTTTTTGGACTTTCCTAAGGGAATGTACCTGACTGCATTAAAATGATCAATTTTGATAAAATACCAAATTTTAATTTATTCTTTTATTAAAATAATTGGAAGCTTGGCTTCCTAAAATTGCCTTATTCAACAATAAAAAGAAATCATATTATAAACATTTTAGTACAAAACAGCAACTGCCAATACAGCTTAAGTAGTTATTTCAAAACTGAAAATTGTAGTCATTTGGATAATTTATGGTGTATTTTTTTTATATTTAAGGGATATTTTAAATGTTTAAGTGATACCTGCATTATGCTTGTATTTTCATGTATGGCTTCATTTCAATGCAGTACAATTTCCGAAACAATATCTAATGCTGTTTACTATCTCTAGTGTATTGTAAGCGATTTGTCTGGATTCTGACATTTGATATTTGCTTGCATTTGGAATTATGGTGTTATCGATTTTCTATTTACTTTCCTATGTTTTTTTATTTTACTTTTAACATGGGTAATACAAAAAATAAGCATGCGACTGAGAAACAAAAATTCGTATTTCTAGATCAAATACTGTTGGTGAAAATATAAATACAGACAGCGAAATGAAAATTCAATCAATCAAAGAAATTAAAGATGAAAATATGGTCAATAAATCAAATGTGGCGCTTGGGAAACATATAATAGACCCGAAATATTTACAAATGTATTTAAAACGTGTTGTCCACTATGTTTACAGCTAGTTAAAGGTTCAAGTTTCGGTTTGACTTTGAGGATGTCTATCAAATGTAAAAACTGCAACTTTCAAAATGCATTTGCAACTAGTAAAAAAAAAAAAATTAAATTAATGAAACAAACACTCAGTTTGTATTTTCTATAAGGCTAACACGTATAGGATAAAAAACAGTATGCAGCACTGAATATGCTCTGCTTGTCAAAGGAGGCTATAAGAAATGTGAAAAAAAATCTATTGCAGATTGCTTCAATTATTGCTCAAGATTCCAAGAATGCAGTTGCATCAGAAATCAAAAGTTTGAAAGCAAATGATGATTCTGAGACAGTTTGTGGTATCTTTTGCAATGGCATTTGGAAACATCCTGGTTCATTGTCAAGTACAGTTAGTGCATTTAAGAATTTAAAATTTTGAATACTCAAGGCAACTAAAATATATAGAATTTTACTGGGATGGTGATTCTCAAGGATATTCAGCATTAAAAAAGGTATATGGGAGTAACAGCATCACAAAATATGAACGTATTAGGCATATACAAAAAAGGGGTAGGGAATAAAGGGAAACTGACATACAAATTTATAAATGCTGAAACTTAGAAATTAAACACACAAGCTGCATATAAAGCAAACAAAAAATTTTCAACCTCCAGGGACATAAAAATTTCACTGTTGAGTAGAATGCCCCATGACCACTGGTTTCCTTTCTTCAGATTTGGTTAATAGGGTATTGTATTGCTCTTCTTACAAAGGCAGGGAGCATGTATGGGTTGCTAGCGATTTTCAGTTTCGCCAACTATGCCAAAACAGGATCTATTCTTATTCGTCATCAAATAACTGATACGTTTACTACTTAAAAAAAAAAAAAAAAAAAGTGTTGAATATCTATTTCCTAAGTTCCCATTCCTAATCAATCTTTATACCTCATTAATATTCATAAACTATTGTTTAATTTCTAAATTATAAGTGCTAGAACTATATTCTTCGGCAGATACACATGCTTTCTAGCATATCTAATATTCTCAGCCTAGGTTGACCACTAGTATAGATGCAATTACAAAATAATTTTTAATTCTTCCTTTTGAATTCAAATTCAAATAAAAAGCTCACAATTAAAAAACACTTGATTTAAAAAACAGTATGTTCTGCAAGCATGAGATTAAACAAGTTAACGGAGGGATAGAAAAGAAAGGGAGTAAAAATAAGGTTTTCTAATTAAATAATATTTATGTTAAAAATATTTAAAAAACAACCATTATTAATTTTATATGTTTGCAAGCAGTAGAAAATAAAAAATATGAGAATTAGAAACCTATAAGAAATGCATGAGTAATTTATAAGAAAATATTCTAATTACACGGAATTAAGCTACTATACTGGCATAGTTATGAGATAGCTTGCATATATGTACTTGCTAAAAATAAGTAAGCCTAATATGAAGATATTCTAAAAGAGAGATAATTCAATGTTTAAATACCTTTTATGGCAAATATTGCCTTGGATGAATCATATTAACATAATGTTAAGCTGCACAATGCTTCTTAAAAGAAAACATATTTATATTTTTAATTATAAAACATATAACTTATTTAATCAATTTAGACAATTCTTAGGTGTAATCAACTAAACTCTAGATTAAGTTCTGTTTATATATCAAACCAAGTAAACATAATATATCATTACCATTATATGTATTAGACGAATAGCCAGCTGGAAGAACAAATTTTACATTTCTATTTAAACCGAAGTAAATTAGATGTCCTGGGTCTTCATCCACAAGGGAGTAACTTAATTCATAATATAATGGCTGATGATCACTCTTCCATTCTAAACAATGCATTCCAAAGTAGAAGTTCATACTATACCCTTTTACAGGCATCAGAGTGCATCGGCCATTTGTAGGACCAACATTCACTTTGAAATACTGAATAGCAGAACCTTCCAAACTACCAACTGAAACCATAAAATAAAATTAGTATTAAGAGTTTTTAATACTTTTCAATGTTGTTACAGTTTTCTAGTAGTTTTTTTAATTATGACTATGAAATAATTACCACTGCTTTTAGCATTCACTTGAAATAAATATGTGTTTCCAACCTTCAGAGCTCCAGGTTTCAATATTAAATATTGTTTTATAAAACCAGTAGTTGTAGAATTATTATTCAGAGAAAGTAAAATCTTTGGCCTGTTAACAAGATGCGGAGTAGATGGTTTTTGCTGTAATATGTTGTCTCTAAGAGGGTCACCAAAGCCATATGGATCATTAACTAAAACTGACAAGAAAAAAATACATTGATTAAGAATAAAATACATTAACAACATAATATTCAATTACTACATATATCAAATTATAATATAATTATACACAGAGTAGTAAAAACTCTTTTATTTGACAGATGTATGTCTCATAGATTCAATCTGATTAGAAGAAACAGCTGATGTATGATTTAGATGACATTACACTAAGAAATAAAAAAGTCATACACATCAAGTAAACATCTTATTATAAACTGAACTGACAGCTGTAATAAATGTATTGCATATCATTATACACCACTGGAGTAGTAGTAGTAATGAGCCATTGTTGTATATGTGTCATTTGTTGTTTAACAGTGATACAATGCCTGCATTAGAACTCTGTCTATATTACTAAGCAGACATGTAATTTTTGCAAACGTAAGGAATTTTTATTGTTCAACAGTATTTTATTAGTATTTCTATTGCTGAACAGCATTTGAAAATGCAGTGAATAGTGCAATGCATCAAGATGAATTAGGTTCCAACAAGACACTGGCACTTGTCACACATCAAATCAACAATTTAAAAAAACATTCATGCTCCCCCTGCAAGGGGTTTTTCTTAAATCCCCCTTTTAAAAGACTGAAGACAAAAAAAAAAAAAAAAAAAAAAAAAAAAATCTTTACATCACTGTTTAGCTAGAACTGACGCCCAGAAATTTTCTGGAGTTGCCCAAACTTTCTATTTTAACCTTACTGCCTTCTGAAACTGAATCAGGTATGTTCAATCATTAAAATTCTTTCACAATCATCCCCCTTGCCCCCCAAAAAATTATGCTGTTTACATCGGATGCATTCATTAGTTCACTAGCAAAGATTACTTTAATATTATATATTCCAGACATAACTTTGGAAAAGAATGTTTCATTCATTGCATGTTTATATCTTAATCCTTATGTCAACTCATTCAAGACTGATTTATATCATACCTATGGCCACCGACATAATGAATCAAAATTTTAGTTCATCATATATTTGTTTTAAATACAGTATGCGGGGGGGGGGGGAATTGCCTACAGAAGACTTTATTTCCTTATTTATAAGGAAATCAAGTCTAGGTATCTTGCATGGTGAGTGATGGGTCACAACTTTTGTTTAGATTAGATTACGTTATCTCCAATCGATGCAGCACCGTATTGGTTCGTGAATAGGTTCTTCAGGCATTGAGGTTCGTATAGGAAAATAGGGTTCATACACATTTTTGCACATGGAGAAAGTAAGTACTTTTAAGGACTTTTAAGGACCATTAATGAAAAAAATTAAGGACCTATGAGCAAATGGGAACTGAATAAATTCAATTAAAAATATTATTTTATGCCTGAATTTCACTTTTGTAATACCATCTTAAAAATAAAATAGATCCCTAAGTAGTATGCATTATTACTAAACATGAATTAACTAACATAATTATTAATAAGTTTGAGAATAAAATAAACTTCATGCAGTTTATCAAGTAGCACTAAATATTTTACACTTATAATAGTTGGACATATTTAAAAGAAGATAAGTGGCATTTACATTTTACTAATAGTTAGCTTTATGCTTTTTTTTTTTTTTTTTAATGTCTCATTTTGTCACATACTTGGTCAGTCTAGAGGTTTAGCAAATAGTAGGGAGATTTTATGTCAAACGGCATAGGTTGAAATGAGAAGCGAGATCATAATTTGCATGACTCATAACAAAAGACTGAATGTTGTCCCTCTGCTGCTTGTCTATAGAGAGACCTGCTGTTTGGAACAAACCTGAAAAGCCTGATGTAGGCATGGTTGGCAAGTGTTGAAAGTTAGTCAAGCTCTGCTTAATGCAGTTAATGTCATAGCTTTGTGTAGAGTTCCAGCGGTTGTGACCCAGTTAATATACTTTAAGGTTCCGATAAGCCATTAAAGCACCAGAGGTGATAAGTTATTTTATATATATTATAAGTCTCAGGAGATGCAAAGTATAAGTTTTACTTGATGGTGTTGATGGTTACTTGATGGCTGTTGGATAATGTTCCATCAAAGTTCATCATCCTGTGTTCTCCACACAAAGGATTTGGCGATTGGATCCCCTAAAAAACCCCAGTCGCCTTTTAAAAGGGGGAGTATACAAGGTATTTCTCCCACCTTCTTGGCGTAGTGGTTTGCACACTGGTAGCGGTAATCCTGAGGTCCTCGGTTCGATTCCCGGCGAAGCATTATTAATTGCTTTCAAAAATACCTAATGTCTCTACAAGCCTTCCCAAACATTTTGGCTAGTTTATATCAATTTCCTTCTCTTTAATTATCGATCTTCTCTGACAATAATTAGAAATTTGTCTCAGTATGCAAACCAATGTTCTCGCTAGTTTCTGTGTGCTTTATCTCCTAACTTGTCAATCTCTCCACAATGTACCTATGAGGGTTTACTTGATCTAGTAAAAGCTAAATAGTCCCCCCCTCCGATAGATGTGAAGCAAATTATCACTGTATCTGAAAGTAACTACAATATCAGACAAAGAACTTAGAACATAAAGGCATGTTCTGACGCTAACAAAGTCAATTACAGCTCAATGGTGACGTAATTAAACAAGAACAGTCAAATTCAAACTAAAAATGTGGACTAGTGGTCAAAGATAATACAATTTAGTTTTAATTTAATCTGGCTCAGTAACTCTATCATATGAGGAAACAGAAATGGGAAGTTATAGTAAAGGCTGAAATGATAAACAATCGGGTAATTTACATAATAACTGCACATATCTTTGAAGAATAATTTTCTTTATGTATTCGTTTCTTTCTTCAGCGTGTTTCCGTTTAATTTTAGAATTTTTGGATTAAATTAAGGATTTCTGTTATTCTAAAAAACACTAAATGCATTTAGAATGTACAGAAAAAGTGGCTAATTTTATTCCTTTAGTAATATGAACATTCAGAAGAAATACAAAATATATATGGTAAAGGCCGGTTACAGAGCTGGTGTGGCAGAATTTTTAGAATTTAGTGACACACAGAACAACAAAATCCAGAAATGGCAAAACTTTTAGAATTTAGAGCAGGCATTGGAAACAGAATTTAGATAGGCACTACGCAGCAGAATTTAGGATACACAGAGATTGCATCAGGGGGGGAAATGCATAGCACCAGCTCTGTGTACGATGCATTTAGACATATTAGATGAATCTCTTAAATTGTAAGTTTTCAATTTCTTTATTAATAAAAAAAACCTCTTTCTATAATGCCTGCTCAAGTGATAAGATTAGAAGCATTTTTGATATTTTCCATGCTTTTGTCTAGTGAAAAGTAGAGAAAATAAAGGGAAGATAAACATGTTAATAAAAAAGATTCTAGTATCAGGAGTAAAACATTCAAATATTATGTTTCCAGTGTTCTTCCAGACGTTCTCCAAAAAGGAAGAAATTCATCGCAAATTTTCTGTAAAATGCATCTATTACATATTAATATGTTGATACTATGGACACATTTTTCATTTTGTCTCATATTTCTCGAATCTTCTAAAATCGTGGGTCTATAAATCTTGCCTTCAAATCCTTCTAAACTTTCCATGCTGCAGTGTCAAAAATACTGAAGAAAAATTATCCCAACCAATTCTGTAAGAGAAAAAAGCCAGAAATATTTTGGAAAAAAAAAAGGGGGGAAGGAAAAAGTGTAAAATTAATTTTATAGAGAAAACTGATGCATATTCTGAGAATTTTGAATAATCTGAGACAAGATCAAGAGTCCAGCCCATGGAAAAAAAAACGCTTACTATGAAAACATTAAAAAGAAGACATTTTCAATTAATTACACAGCTAATTTTGTTTTTGCTAAGAGCTGTTTTGTAAACTGTGCTTTATAGAATTATCATGATGGTTACTTGATGGCTGTTGGATAATGTTCCATCAAAGTTTCATCATCCTGTGTTCTCCACACAAAGGATTTGGCGATTGGATCCCCTAAAAAACCCCAGTCGCCTTTTAAAAGGGGGAGTATACAAGGTATTTCTCCCACCTTCTTGTTTATTTTTCAGATTCAAAATATTGTAGAATAAGTTGCCAAAATGAAACTTTCTAATATGACAGTGATAATTAAAAATGTTTTATTTTAATGTTATTTTTTAAATATAATTTCAATATATTACCATTATTTTAATAAAATTTATTACATTTTACGATGTTTTAAAAAAAAGCGTCAAAAGATTCTCAGATCTCGGAATTAAAAATTTTCTATAGAAACTGATCTTAAAATCGCCAAAATGTTGATAAGTCGCCAAATTTAGAACCGCTTAATAAAAGAATTCACATTCCCAAAAGCGAAAAGTTGTTTAAGAGCTCTTTATTAGAAAAAAATGAATTTTGCTATGCTTATGTTTCACTTCTTGCTTAGAACCTCGAGCATATCCCATCACTCTTATATTAGAAATAGAAACAAATTATAACCGATAAACCCATTCAAAAGGGATAACCATGTACATCAGTGAATTGCCAAAAATATTCCTCCAAAATGCTAATTCACACTCAAAATGGCAGTCGTAAAAACAGAGAGAAATTTCAGATGATAAAATTAAGGACCTTTTTTTTTTTTTTTTTTCAGATTTTTTTTTTTTTTTCTTTTTTTTTTTCTTTTTTTTTTTTTTTTTTTTTTTTTTTCCTTTTTTTTTTTTTTTTTTTTTTTTTTTTTTTTTTTTTTTTTTTTTTTTTTTTTTTTTTTTTTTTTTTTTTTTTTTTTCTTGTTTTGGCAAAAATTAAGGACTTTTAAGGACCAAAATCGATTTAAAAAAATTTAAGGAGGTAAGACTTTTAAAAAAATTTAAGGACTTTTAAGGACTGTTAAAGACCGTACGAACCCTGGAAAAGTGCAAACTGATACATGAATGCATACAGTATATGATTCGTATAGTTCCTTGCTGTGGTGGCTGAGAGCAGACATACGACCGCAACAGTAAAAAGGCTTTGGTGGCTGAGAGCAGACATATGACCAGAACGGTAAAAAGGCTTTAGTGGCTGAGAGTGGACATACGACAGCAAAGGGTTTATGACACACGGTGCTTTTTTGGAATATTATATTCTCCAATCCTATTATATTGTGGGAGAAAAATCCTGATAGTAGATATTAAATCATTCCAGATACTAGACACCTGGATTTAAGATTTCTACTTAATACATTTATAAGTGTAAAATAATTTTTTTCTGAAGAGATGTACATCCCTTAACATTTTGTAAATCGAATAGGAGAAAGTAAAAATTTTAAAATACTGCTCTTTCCATTCAATGAACTTTACACATATCATACTTATTTATGAATTTTTAATGTCTCATTCATGTCTCATTGAATGCATTAAGCTTTTAAGGTGTTTGAAAATTTACAGATTTTGAAAGGATGACATTTGAGCAACAGACACCAAAGCAAGCAGAGGAACTGATACGCAACCTTATGCTTAATTTGCCAGTTATCATTAACTGTGTAATATGAGTGAGTAGACATTTGTTCATTGACTGCATTTAGTTTTTCCATTTTGAATCATAAAACACCTAAATGTAAATCTAAATGACTCTTTTAAAGTTTCCCACCACTGCACGTTTTCCCTGTGCAAACAGTTCCCGTTGGTGTGCTTAATCACATCCTGTCAAATGATTTTTGGCATTTGGAAAAAAAAGGGGGGGGACTTGCTTTAGAACATTCCGTTGTGAAATCTGTAAAATAATATCATTATCATTAAGTACAAGGTGTCCGAAATGGAACATATCATGCTTCCAGATTCCAACCACCATTTGCTTCCAGTTCTGTAGCAAAAAGTCAGCTACAGAATGTCACCAAATCATGTGTACAGCTTTAGGTACTAATGTTGTATCATATGATACTGTGAAGATTGCGTACCGAAAGTCCAGAAACAAGCATCATGACATTCAAGAAGCAGAGCGCTCTGGCTGGCCTACTGATGTTGATGAGGCCTGACTGCAAGAGCTTGTGGAAGAAGATCATTATGGAACCACTCTAGAGCTTGCTAAGGAGATAGATGTTAGTGCCCTCTCCTTTAGTCACACTATGCATCACATAAACTTGACATATAAATTCAATCACTGGATGCCGCATGAGCTGACTCAAGCAGATAAGGACAGACGTGTTCGGGCCCACACTAATTTTCTTGAATATCAATGCAAGGACAAAGTTCTGGACCAAATAAGTACTTGTGATGAAAAGTGGGTTTACTTCAACAACACAGGCCGAAAAGGGGGTTGGTCTGCACCAGGTGAGGATGTTGGCAGCTTCACAAAGTGCAAATCAACTAACAAAAAGATCATGCTGTGTACCTGGTGGGACTGCCATGGTATTATCCGCAAAAAGTATCTGGAAACCCTTGACAGTAAGGTGTACAGTGAGATGCTAGTCCATGTTGAAGTTGCTATCAAGGAAAAATGTCGAACTGAGTTCCAGCACAAAAAGGTAATGTTTCATCAAGGTAATGGAAGACCACATGTGTTTGCATTCATGGGCTGGACTCTGTATAGACTCGGATCTTCTGCCACACCGACCCAACATCGCTCCTTTGGACCTCTACATTTTTTCATACCTGCAGCTATATCTTGCTGGTGGCAACTTCTACTCTGCATGGGATATCTGAAATACAATTGATCTGTTTTTGGACTTGTGACCAACAAGTTTCTGTGCCAAAGGCTTTGAAAAACTACCAAAACTTTGGCAGAATATCATAGATTTTGAGGATGATTACTACCTGCACTAAAAGTACTGCTTTGATGGTTTTTCTTCTAACTTTACTTTGTTCGGCGGAAAACTTTTGTTACAACCAGATATTAACTCAAGTATTATACAGAATAAAAACACATCTTAAAAAATGCTTTTCAATTCTCAGCAGAGCTTTAAGTACATATAGACTTTTAGCACTGAACTAATTTACTTTATGTCTGAATTTATACTTATCTGTATTTTCTAAACAGTGCACACCTGAATTTGAACTTAAGACCAAAAATAAATTAAAAGCTTTGAAAAACTAGTAATAAACAAGAAAGATGAAAAACTTTATTCACAAGCTGGAAACAGAACACTAATATTACAGTATTCTACATATTAAATAGACTTGACATGACTGGCGTTTTGATCTTATAAGTAAACCTCACATTAATATAAATGTAACACAATGGTGGACATACATCTATATGACCAATGGTGAAATTCTGGTGTTTCGCCTACTTGTACCTATCTATACTGTTCGGTATTCTAAATTTCTCCCTCTGTCAGTAACATATAAACAGTATAAGTATAGCTATATTATTTTATATGTATGTGTGCATGTGGAATGATTTCATATGTATATGTGTATGGGAAGTGCACACTATAATTAAGATATACCTACAATTATCTGCAAGCATATTACTTCACAGATAGTAAAATAACTTCTAAATTTACCACTGTTAGTATTTGAAGACTTTGTTCGAGGTTTTCCTGCTTCTTCAAGTATATGGTCTTCATCTTCTGATAAAAATGCTCCTATTTGTTGAATACCTGAAAACAATTTTTGAATGTAAAATTTATGATATTATATTAATATATCTAAATACTTCCAAGCTGACTGTAATATGTATTCTTACAAAAAATACAAAAGGACAATTATCTTTATAAAAGCGATTATTTAATAATTCTCCTTTTTACTCAATGCAGTAAAGGCGGCAAGCATATAAGAGAAGTAAAAATATTAAAGTTAACAAGAAAAATAGCAATTCTATAAATATAATTTTACTAGGAATAGAATCACTACTGAATTAACTTATATTAACACCAAGAACAGTATTTATAAACAATTACATTATAAGTCTATAACCCATCCTACTATGTCCTGATACAGAATGATTTCAAATAGCTTATATATACATAAAACATGCTAGGGATGAACATATATCTTTCCACTTAATTACAATAGGCCTTTGCATGCTTTCCCATATTCCGAAAAACCAAAATCAAAGCATTTAATTACAGAAAGAAACAAGTCCTTAAATTTTGCAACTTCAGGTATTTTCTGTAACTTACAAATGCATTAGGAAAATTTTACACTTTCCAGCCACATTACATTACTATACACAAAACATGTAAAACTACAGGCATTGAAAATGACAAAAAATATGGACAAAGATGGGCAAATTCTAAACAGTTCATATTATGAAAATAATCAAATATCACTGCCACAGGTGTTTAAAAGAGAGCCCCCCCCCAAAAAAAAGTTCGAAATCGCATGGCATAAAAAAAGGTAAAAAGAAAAATATGGCTAAATTAATGCATTCTGCAAATAGATACAACAGTAGTCAGAAAATACCTAAGACTATATATGCCAAGTCATGAAACAAAATAAAAAGTTTTACTTTTGTTTGATATATATTTTGCCAAAGAATTAAATCTAATAGTACACAGCTAGAATTCAAGTGAGAACTTTACGATTTAAATTTCACACTCATCAATATACCGTATTTTGAGTTCTTCAATTAAGTACTTCAATAAAAACGAATTTACCTATTTTACATCTTCATCAAAATAATTAAGTTGGATTTGCAATAAGTAAAGTTTATGTTTATTGGAAATCAAGAAATGCATCAAAATAACTAGAACATTTTTCATTACCTGTTTCATTACATTTTTCACTCATTACATATATACAAATACTTGAACTGCATAGATGAATAACTATGCTTTTCTTCAATGTAATTAATTTCTAGCATTTATAGCCAAGAAAACATAGCTACATAAAATGGGGGAAAAATTACGATACACAACTAAATACATACTCTTTTTGTTGTGATCAATTTCAGTCATAACATACAGCAGAATTATATAAAAGGAATATTAAAGTTAAAAACTTTAATAAACAGGTTTGGCAAAATGAAATTTCCTAAAACATTTTTTAATTAAATATGCGTTAAGAGTTTTCAATAATTTTTTAAGCTTTATATACCAGGCTGTCTGAAAAATCATGACGCATTTTTATAACAGATAGTTCTCATTTTCAGAAGTGCTAGAGTTCATTCACATCTATTTTACTGCTATGTTATCACATCTGACAGTTGTTTAAAGAAATTTAAAACAGATTTTTTTTCCATCATTCTTGGGAAAAAATTGAATAATTTGGTTAAATTTTGGAGATTTTATAAATTGAACATGAAAGCTCAAACTGTGCCTTTTCACCACATTTTACTGTTTTACTTCCATAAAAGGAAGAACATATATCCAAAATTTGCATAAAAATAAAAGTGCTCTGCAAAAAAGTTGGTGCTATTGATGGCTCATGAAATTCAGTGCTGGTGATTTTGATCTCAATGAAGCTCTTCAGATCAGGAAGACCAAGAGAAGTTTATGATAAAACAAAAGCACTCATCGAACATAACCTATGTTATGAAATAACAAATTAAAGAAACATTAACATTCCTCAATCAAGTGTTCACAGCAACTTGAATAGGCTGCGATATGTAAAGATGTGTTTCTCAAGTTCCTACCAAAGAATCAAACACTCAGCTTGAATGTGTACTGTAGGCATATGAACAGTCTGAATGGACCCATCATTCAGAAATGTATAGTACTCATTAACTGATAAGTAGCTGCACGTAATGGCACACAAGTTCAAACACCTATAAAAAACTGAATGAATTTGAAACTGGATGAGATGCCCATCATAATCGCTCGACCTTCCTTCACCAACCAGACTTCAAAATGCCTTGTTCAGTTTAAAAATTCCTGATTAATATAAAATGCAATTCAGATAAGGCTGTAAATCAATGCCTTACTCAGATTTTTCCAATAAAGAGATGTCCTTCTAAGAATAAGGAATTATGAAGCTCAAGGAAAGAGGACCAAACAAAATGGGCAATAAGTCATTGATTGTTCTTTGTTCTATATGTGTATATCTGAGGAAAAAAATACGTCATCATTTTCCTGACAGTTCAATATAATGAGCCAAGCATTTATGTAAAATTCTGAAGCTATTACTTTGATCTCTGGCAGCAGCACTCCCACTTTCACCAGGTTGTCCTTCTTCAGTTATCAGGTAATCAGGGCTTCCTAAACCAGGAGGTTGCAAGGGTAGAAAATCAGGATGTGGAAAACCTAGAATTGATCAGTGTCCTACATAATTTCAATAGTAAAATATATGTAAAGTCTAAATATGCATAATGAGAAAACACAAATGAAATGTTAGCTTGGCTTGTTGATAAATAATGATAATCAAAGTCACTAATGTAATCAGTAAACCAATATAAAAAGTTGCTTAAAGCACAGATTCTAAACAAAATAATGTCTTTACACTCTGTTAAAATACAAACACTTGGCTTCATGAGTTTATACTGAAACAGGTAATAAATAATTTTAAACTCTTTACTCTTCACCATGAAATTTTTCCTCTATTAGAAACTCTCTACTGAAAATGATACAGAAATATTCTTTTAAATGAAATATTCTTTAAAATTTTGTTTAAAATTTAAGAAAATTTTTAAAAGTTCCTTTGGAAAGTCACCAGTATTTCTGAGAACATTCTAAAATAGAGACCTGAATTTCGGGAGGCATGTTAGTGGTTAATATCACTAACGCTCACATTCACATAGGTGACTATCATCTTAGAAAAGTATTATTAGTAGAATAAAATTACTCAAATTATTAACTAGAAGTTCATGATCAAATATTAAACAGAAATGATAGGAAATGATAGTTCCCATGCTTCTCTGCCCCCCCAAAAAAAAAAAACAATATGATGAAAGCACTTAAGAATAAACTACAAAGTATGTAAAGCATTGCAATCATTTCGTGAATTCCCAGAAATATTTTGTCAATATGTTGTATGAATTACAAACTGCACATACATTTAATACTTATCAGTCAGGCAAATAAATTTTCTGCCTTTAGATATGTACATTTCTTTTTCATCCATATTACATTTTAACAAATTGATATTATTCCCCCTTTATATTTAAACATATTTTAAAAGAAGTTAGTTGATGATAAAAAAAAAAAAGGTACAGTGACACTTGTCATATGGCCACCTTCTATACAGAAATCTTTGAGAGTGACTAGTATTTTTTATGCTTAAATAAACACTGCTACTGAACATGACCTTAAACCATGGTAAGGAAACAAACTCCACGAAAGACCAAAAACTAACTCGGAATGATTAGTGATTGTCCTATGGAGATTTTACTGTACTCAAATACCATGCATCATTCACATATACATTTGATGCTTTCTAAACTAGAACACAATGGGAAATGTTAAATATAGAGCATCAATTCCTGAAATTCATGGCTGAATCAGTTCAGCCACTAACTATTCTCTTCTATATAAAAAAAAACATTTAAAAAATACTACATAGCTAAAATGTTTCTTGAATGACAAGCTATATATCCGTGCCTTCCAGTTTTAAAAATAGATTAAATAAAGACTTTTAGACTATAAAAATTGTGGCATAACCATGATAAAAAATTACAAAGACGACTAGGCAAAACTTGGCAAACTTGGCAAAAAGACAACAAAAATAATGGCAACACTTTTTAGTAAACCAGAAAACGAATTAATATTAAAAGAAATTTATACTTTTACATGGGCACAGAAGTTATATATAATAAACTGCTTTTACCTTATTACAGATACTTTGTGGAAGGAGAATTTCAAATAAATGAATTAGTAACCTTGGAAAAAAAATGTCAAAATTACACACAAACTGGTTCTATTTTATAAAAAATAAATAAATAAAAAAAAAACTTTGATTTAGAGGTCATATAAAACTGAATTGTGTTTTATTTTCACATTTTAGTATTTCAATAAATCTGAAAATCATATACAGTCAAAAGTTGTTAATCCGGACACCCATAATCCGGACCTTTAATAAGTTACAAACTTTCTGCGCATGCGCATAGGCGCTTACGCATGTGCATATGCATGTGCGCATGCGCGTAATACGTTTACGCATGCGCGCTTAATGTATAACAGACGGTATAAGCTAAGCTAAAATTATCTAATTATCTATTTCAATTAATGTTGTAGATTGGGTTGTTCCTTAATCTTTGAATTGGATCCGGCTTATTATTTTTTGCAGACTGTTAAGAGCAATTCTATAAAAGTAAGCTTGAACTTTCAATTATGTCAAATAGAATTTCCGATGCTGGAGTTGCCAAAGCGGAAGTATGTTTCGATGTCAATCAAACAAAAAGTGGAATTGCTGCAAAAAATGGATAAAGGCATATCCTTTGTTTCTCTAACAATTCCGAAATCTGTTTATCAATTTCACGCTGCTCTGCCGGGGGGGGGGACGTCGCAGTGCGTAATTAACTGGAAGTTGATCTGTCAGCACTATCCTTATCTTCAGGGCAGATGTTTTTATTTTATTCAGCTTATAATTCCTTATTAATGTAGTATTTCATCTTGATGTATTCCGTCTTTGATATGATTTAAATCAAATTCCTCGTCATTATAAATATCATGCGTAATGCGTAATGTATGCTTTACGCATGCGCGCATTGAAAGAAATGTTTAATAAAGTAAACAAATAAATATTAAGCTTTTTTTTTTTTTTTTTTTTTTTTTTGTAAATTTTGATATCCTTTAGATCATAATTGCTCTTTATTTCATAAATTACGGTTTCATATTTTTTATTTTATAATTTCTGCATGCCATCTTGATCTATAATCTGGAAAAATCGATAATCCGGAATTGCTGAAGTCCCGACGAGTCCAGATTAAAGACTTTTGACTGTATACTTATCTTCATTTCCTTGAGGTAGAAGGTATTTATCATATTTTTGCAATTAAAAGACTTATTTGCATTTCTCAACTATAAGCACATATATCAAAATTACAATTCTGCATATATTTATTAAACAATGTCTAGAGATTAAGTAATCACTGTACTTCTATCTTGTGATTCCTTTCTTATATAGGAATCATAAGTATACAAGTAAAAAGGCATGATTTTTATTAACATTTGAAGTTGAAGTGAGCATTTCAACTAGGATGGAATTCCATAATTATAATTTACTTTTTATTTATTACTGGGAAATAGAAATGAATTTTCTACATCAAGAGTACAAACAGTTGGGAACCAGAATGTCCAGAAATGCACAGTTTTTTAGTATTAAATTCAAAAGTACATGTTTCATGTACATTCAAAGAATATTGTTTACAGTACATTTTATGAGAATAGAGTAACAATATAAACATACTATTAAGGGTTAGATTATCCTCATATTGTGCTTCACCTTCAGACAGCATTTGTTGACTTAACATAGGATCAAGAAAATCTGTATTTAGAGGTTTTGGCAAACCTCTTGCTGAACGATGATGTATTTCATGAACTAATTCACTCACATGAAGACCTATACAATGAAACAGAAAGTTTAATATGCATTGAAAATCTTTAGCAACTGAGAAGAGAAGAAGAAAAATACAGCCCTTAAGCAGCAGATCACTGCTTTTCACCATAGTTAAAATTTTTATTTCAAATTAAGAGCAATAAGATATTCTAATAATAAGATACTATACTAAATACTTTTCCCCAAAATGTTAATTTTTTATTTTTAATCTAAAAAAGGAACTAAAGACTGATAAATTTTAAAATTAATATAACTCATTAACTTTGTCATACTATACGTTTCAGTACCTTATTTTAAAACTAATTAATATTTTCACAAGAGGTTATCTGGAATGTGACCCGATTTTCATTATTTAACTGACAGCATCTTTTTTATGTGTTTTGTGATATTTGAAATATTTATATTTTAAAGAGATATACATATTTAATAAACAAACCTAAAAAAGTATTTTTAATATATCTCAATTGCCAGAAACACATACAATTTCAAAACTTCTAATTAAAAAAAGGGGGGGGGAAGAAGAAGATTCTATGAAAATTACATTTGAAATTTCATACTTAACAACAATTTAAATTCAAATTAAAACCCACAAAAATGTTTCTAGCACACATTTTGATTACAATGTTGATATAAAATTTAAAGTACAAACTTGTTAATATATAAAATCATTCCCAAATATAAAATATCCGACCTTAAAAAAAAAAAAAAAAAAAAAAAAAAAAAAAAAAAAAAAAGTGAAATTTTGCTGAGTGCCCCATTTAATGAATATATATATATATATATTTAAATTTAACAAACATTCTCTATTTGTAAAAAGCAAATAAAAGTTAATGAAATTTAATTACAAACAAATAAATTATTAATTATTGCTGCGAACTAATCTACAGTGTCATTTAATTTCTGAGAGCATATGTAAATCAAGTTGCAAGTATCAAAATCCATGAATTAAAATATAATTCCAAAAATTTTTTTAATCCTAAAAAATTTTAAAAAATGCATAAGTGAATAATTGTTGAACAATATATATATATATATATATAAGTGAAAAAAATTACCCATTGATGAATTAGCAATTTTTTCCGGAAAGCCCAATAAATCTGGAAATGGAGGAAGATCATCACTGGAAATATCGTTCATTTCCCCTGTTGAAATGAAGCTTGAAGCAGCTGTAAACAAACACAATTATATACAATCTCCAATACATATTCTTGTTAATTCATTTCAAAATACAGGGGGGTCAGCTTCATAACATTTTAAGAGATAATTGTTCATATTTAAATTACCCAAATAAAATCACTAAGAACATTGACCATTTCATAAAACCAACAAATTTAGTAATATTTAATGATTTCATCCATACGGTCATTAGAAGTGACCTCTAAAAAACTAAAAGTTAATACGATAAAGTATTCACATGTAGATGATTAACATTAGAATACATTTTATGAATTTATAAAGACATGCTAAATGCACACATTTCAATGAGAATACTTTGTATAAATACCTTGATTACAAAGGGATGCTAATGATAATATCAACAGGTGGAAATAACACTTATAGGAAATTATCCCTTTGGATATCACAAGGGTATACGCATCCTAAATATTTGTAATATCCAATCAGGTAAAATGTTGTCTGTCTCAATGAATGCACAACTGATGAGAAAAGAACTGCATGCAAAATTTCTTGTTTAAATGATCAGAAAAGTCCTACAATGAAGATGTAAGATGGCTTTCTAAACTTCTAAGTGCATGTTACTTTTAACATATCCAAAATATGAGGTGATATTTGAAAATATAATAAAGCTAACAAGCAATGAATATACTTACAGAAGTGATAAGAACCGTCTAAATTTTCCAAAACATCATCATTAAGAGTGTAAGTTTCATTATCCCTTGGATACACAGCAGCAACAGTTGAATTTGGAGCAATAATGAAAAACGTAGAACCATCAGCTTGAACACATTTGTAATTACCTAAATGTAATAATTAATATATATATATATATATATATGCATACAGAGAGAGAAGCTGATTGATAAATAAGTAGACACATAAAGTAAGAAGGTTACCCTTTTTAATTTAATGCTGCTCTTCCTCCCCAAAAATGGAAAATTACAACAACCTATTTACTCATATTAAATTTCATATAGTTGCCCTTTTCCCATTTTTCATTCAGTAATAAGTAAAAACCTTGTAGCATAAAATAAGTATGTACGTTTCATATAATTATTATTTTTCATGCAATATATTAAAAAATTTTACACAATTTAGCACAAATCACTTACTAAAGTGCAATTCATGTTTTCCCTCTTCAATTAACCATATTTTCCATGTATATTCAGTGTCCATATTCACACAATTTGTACAAATAGCTTTCAGTTCAATCTTATCTTCTTGATTAACTTGATGATCACGACAATGGTGACAGTCAATATTTATTCTGAAAGATATTAATTGCTATTAAAAATAGTGGAATAAAATGCATAACTAGATATAATTTAATATTAAAATGAAGTTCTAAAACAATATTAGAAACACAGCAATTACTGCTTAACAGGATTACAGTAAACATAATCATTCAAATATTATCAAATTATTAAAGTCCTGTCCATTTGTAATCAATAAGAAAGATAATTCTTTCTTTTTTACGATCTGAAAAAAAAAAAATTAATATGAGCAAAGTATTCCAGAATAAATTTATTTTCTCAACCAAAATAAAGGCATAAAATGTGGAAGGAATCAAAATATGCAAATAATGTCAGCAGTTTTTTAATTAATGAATTTTGAAACAGAATAACAATCTAAAAAATGTAAACCAGTTAAATCTCTTAAGATGCATTTCCTCCGATACATCAAATATCATACTCATATGAAAGCATACAGTCGAAGAATTGATGCGATGAAAAACTATTATTGCTATGAGATTAACACAATAAAAGTTTGACTATCAACTATTCAGCTAACTGGAATATTTTCAAATTTTAGAAAATTTTTTAGGAGGGTATGAACAAATTAAGCAAAATTTAAAGCAAAACTAGACTATGACTCCAACCAAACAAAAACAGTCACCAAGCTGCAATTAAGTACCAATAATGGATGAGTGTGACATCACAGCTTAATCATAAGATCTTCAACTTGGCTTATGTAAACCCAATTAATTCTCGATAAGTTGACTTAATTTCTGTATGAAACAATATAAGTTAACAGCTATTTATCTGTTTTTCAATCACATCTTGAAAAAATGATTAAAATCTGCAGCTTGATTTCAATGAAACAGCATGAATAAACTATTTTCAAATTATGGAATCCTGGCATCACGAAAAGTACGAGTTATGTGAGAATTGATAAACACTGGCTGCACAACAAAAAAATATGACAAGTGGTAGAATTTTTTTTTATATGTTATGTCTATAATATGTATATGCTGATTACCTAAATAAAGAGGGATCCATTCCTTCAAATTTCTCCTGGGATGACTGAAGCAAATTTGGCAAAATCTCTGCCAATTTTCAAAGTCGATAGAATTTTGCAATCCTGTCCATTCCCCCCCCTCATGAGTTAATACTTTTACTTTCTTTCAGTCAGTCAATAATTGGTAAGTTGGAAGTACAGCTATGTAATTTATATTGCTAAATAGATGGAAACGAACTAGTAAATGGCTTGAAAACTCATTACTTGTGCTTGTCATTAGATCTGCATTATATCAATACCAATAATTTGAATGCTTAAGTGTTACCAATTTTTGAGTGTTACTTAAAAAAATTCATCTTGTTGAATTGAATCCAAGTTGTAAACAAAATTATAATTGTGATTTAAAATAAGACATTAAACTTCAAGCCTTGTCTTTGACAACAGGTAACAGAAAAGTGACAGAAGTGCTTTTCAAGATAAATGGGAAATTATGTACTTTTGTGGCGTTGTCTAGAATAAAACTGCTTAATTTGTATTAATGGAATATCAAAAGAGTACAACTTATGTCACCATTACAAAATGAATCATAAAGAAAAATTTGAAATGTTGGAGGGTAAACTTTAAGGGGGGGGGAAGGTTACACTTTTTAAAATTTAACTAAGAACAACAAAATATTTTTACATAAGCAAATAAATCCAGTGAAGCAACAGTTCATGCAAGTTTTGCTCCTGAGCATACCATTGAAAAGATCAAAAATATTTACTGATGGTGAATTCATTAAAGATTGTTTAATTAATCTGTTGAATTTCTTTGATAAGCAACAAATTGTTGAAAAATATTAGTTTCACAGCCATCACAGTAATGGAACAAACATATTAAAGGAATTGCTAGTGATTTACAATATGAGTTGATAAGAATACTGACATTAAAGATATACCACAGATTGCTGTTTTTGTATGAGGCATTACTGATGAATTTGAATTAGTTAAGGAATTGCTAATTTCTATGACAGGAAAAATTGTCACACAGAATAATTTTTTTTAAAATAAAAACAGAAATATAAGTTCAAGCAGAATAAAATGGGTGAATTTGCAAGTATTGGTGGCACTGCTATGATTTGTAAAAAATGGAGTAGTGGCAAAATTAAGAAATACAGTGAAAGAAGATAATATTTATAATATATCTTGTGCTATATTTTACATTATTCATAAAGAAGCAGTCTGAGCCAAACGTTTGCAAATGCTTGATATTATGGAAACATGAATTAAAACAGTAAACTATATCCATGGATAAGCTATGAAACATTGAGAATTTATTGTACTGGTTGAAGAAATTGAAAGTAAGTACAGAGAAATAATTTATTATAATGAGGAGAGGCGGTGAAGTCAAGGAGCTAATTTTCATGATGGAAAACAAATATAATCATCAACGAGCTACATAATGATACATGGAGGACATATTTAACATTTCTTATTGATTTAACTGGCCATTTAAATGTTCTCAATAAACAGCTCAAAGAAACGATAAACTTATCACTAATATGTAATGCTGCTGTTACAGCTTTTAAAGGTAAATTGCAAATATGAAAAATAGCATTATTATGACAAGAATTTGAAGGCAGATTTAAGAAATTTAATGATTTGATGCCAGATTTTTAATTATTTCCATTACCATTAAAAGTAAACATGAATAACATACCAGAAAATTTACAAATGGAACTAATTAATATATAGTGTGATATAAATCTTATTCAAAGATTTGAAGATATAGATCTGATTAATTCATATTCATATTTGTCTGAGATATCCTCAGTTCCAAATTTTTGCAATAACAATAAATGCTTTGTTTGGAAATGCATTCATATGTGAACAGTGTTTTTAACAGTTGAAAATTAACACGTCTAAAAAAGGGCCCGATTGACTGATAAGCACATTTACAACCTGCAATGAAGATAATTTCCAGTACTTTTTCTCAAAGGTTACAAATATTACCAAACTCAAACAACATCAAGAGTAAAGTTGCAGGAAAAAATAAGAGAAACGTACAATTATTTGCATATTTTTTATATATGTATCAGTACAAAATTTAATAAGGAATGAGAAACGGTTGTCTCTATCTATTCTCAAGTTTTATTCCCCTGGGGAAGTTTTCTCTGAAAATTTGGTAAGTTTTCATAATATGTTTATCATATTAACAGTAAGTTATTTACTGGAGAGAATGATGTAATGTAAGAGAATTTGAAATAAATGTCAGTGATGTCAGTTTAATATTTAGCTGCTAGTGTATTTGAATTAAAAATGTAACCAACAAAAATTTGTTATAGTAACACAACCAAATAGTAAACAAGCATGAAAAATATATTCTTCTCCCTTTATTGTTATTATTATTATTGTTGTTTACCTGTGTTTTGATAAATATTTAGAAAGTAAAATTCAGTTATTTGAAATTTAGTTTTAAATTTTGTTCAAAAAAATCTGGCCTGCCAACTGATATTAGGTTGAGTATGTGCCCTTTGTGCAATTTGAGAACACTGAGTTAGGTTATAGTAATAACGTTTAATTGACAGTCATAAAATACAAAATTAAAAAATTTTTTTATCAAAAAATTTCAGTTTTTCTTTTCAAAACAAACAAATGTACGCGTGTGTACTTGTGTCACACACACATGCACAAAAACAGGGAGAGGGAGAATTCACTTGAGTTTTCATATGCAGGTCACACTATAGTTAACAGATTAAGATTTTTAATGTTTCACTTTGAAAGCTTCTGCTTTTACAACTGAAATCCATAAAATATATATATACAGGTATTTTTTTGGGTGGGGGTGAGGGACTTTTATGATCAACTGATCATGAAACATAAATACATTGCAGCATAATAAAAGTATTGAGTTTAATCTCTCAGCTGTTGTAACCCATATTCAAAATGTTCTTGCTGTTTGCCCCCCATCCAGACCTAATTTAAACTTTTGCTTCTGGTATTTGTTTATTATTTGTCAAAAAATGATTTGCAGATTCCAATTTGTGTGAAGAAAGGTTTTTCAAGATTTCATCATTTTAAAATAGTAAATCCCATTATTATTAACTACAGTAGAAGTTGACTGTCCGGTAGGCTGAAGAAATGCCACACTCCAGATATGTGAAATTTCTGGAAAGCTGAGTATATAAAAAATGGAATTCATGTCAGAAAAGCCTAATCAATGGGAAATTTTTTGCTTTAAAATTATAAAAACAATCATCTTACTTATTACCAACTTAAATATCAAAAGTCTACCTTTAAAATTATATAAGATTTCATCATAAAAAAGAATTTCAGTAAAAAAAACAATTTATTTCAATTATTATGAAATCCCGCCAAACATGAAAGTTGGCGGAGATGTCGCCAGTCAATCCAGTAGAAGTTTAAATGAACAGAAGTGTTTAGTTAGATTACTAAAGAGACAAAAGTTACTGATATAGTGTATAAAAAATCAAAATTGCTTATGATAACTTTCATGTTACGTCGGCATTGTTTATCTGTTTCCAAAGTAGGGTATTGTGACTACTTTTTTATGTACAGATACCGTAACTACATGAAAATATTCCATTTCATGTAGTCTGAAATATTAATATTTTTTCCAAAATGTAAGGAAAGAAATAGAACTTACCATACTTATGCGAATCTAATGCGCATCGTTTTTGGCCAAATGTAGTATTCAAAATTAGGGTGCGCATTAGATTCGAGTGCAAAGTTTGCCGATGACGTCAACCAAATTTAAATCGTAATAAAGGATTACTGTATTTCTGGACTACATTTACCGTTACATTTATCGTTGACACATTATTCCATAGAGGATACAAACTGCAGAGTACGTAGTCAAGAAATGGAGGGCAAACAGAGAAGAATGTCATATGACGCTACTTTCAAACGTAAAGTAATTCTTTATGCTGAAAAAAATGGCAATAGAAAGGCAGGGAGAGAGTTCAAACGTAGCTGAGAGCAATGTTCGCTTGTGGCGGCAACAGAAATTGGCACTGTTTGCAACTAAAAC